TGTGTGTGTGTGTGTGTGTGTGTGTGTGTGTGTGTGTGTGTGTGTGTTCCAGAGGCAAAGTGGAAACCCCAGGCTCCCCACAAGGAAAACTTCCTTCCTCCAAACATGTGAGGGGATTTGGTGCGGCGTGGGCTTGATCCTGTCACGTTGGCCTCCCAGGTGGGCCGCCGGTGGCACGTAGACCAGCAAACGGCCGACGCGAGTTGGGAAACATCGCTTTACCAAACAGGTAAACGCCCCACCCCTTCACAAAGAAACCCGATTGATGCGGCCGGCGAGCGTGACAAACTGGGACCAGTCTTATTGGAAACAGCTCGTATCACGTGGAGAGGGTACGCCCACTGGCAGTTACAATCTAAAGCATTTCAGATGGTATAGTTCCATAAACTGTGCGCTAAAAGCTGGATCGAACGCTTGTGGCCATCAGAAGCATTTTCTTACACCCAATGTCCATGTAGATGTGTCTAATGTGCTGATAAACGCCGACCAGAGCTGGAACCAACAATTTTCTGCAATGAACAGCACCAGACAGAACGCATACAGCACACCTCTATTTTGCCCTAAAAAAGCCAGATGTTACTGGGTGCCAGATGTTACTGGGTGCCAGATGTTACTAAGCCCTGCAATTTCCAGACAGTTTTCACTTTGACACGCGACACTTAGAGTTCAGCCTACAGCTTAGTAACACAGTTTCACTTCCTCAGTTCATCATATGAGCTGCGCATAGTTCTATAATCATGTACTTAAAGATTGTGCTGGAGCTGGAGCTAAATGAGTTAGAGAAGTTGTGCTGGGCCCTGCTTTATCACAGGGAGAAGCAGCCCGGACACCTTTTGAAGTTCAGCCTGCAATCCAAGCATTTGGTCTGAGGTGTAGCCTTCTCTTCAACATCCGAATTAGCTCGCTTTTTCTTAATTAAGCCTTCTTTGAAACATTTGGATGACTATTTTCTAAGGCAAACTAATGTGATGCCTAATTTAAGCACAACAACTCTTGTTTTTAAATTTCACACTTTTACCATGAAGTGTCACTCCAACCAAAGAAGCAAATAAATAATTTCCCGTCCTTTTCTCTAAGTGTAGTTGTTGAAGTGTTGAGCAAAAGCTGCTCCAGGTGAACTGATCCCAGGGTTCGGACACAGCTGTGTACTCACTTGAGGTCAATGAGGATGTCTTTGGTCGTGGTCTTTCGGGAGAAGCAGCCTTTCCCCTGCTTCACCTTGTAGTAAATATTGTGGAAACTGACAGTGGCCCCATTTTTGTGGTGGCTCCCACCTGAGAACTAAAGAAAAGTAGCTCATTCCCAACCGCGCAAGCCTCTGGAGCACATGTAAAGCGCATCGCGCTGGTGTGAAAAGATGAGCTCACCTGGCTTTTGAAGTCTCCATTCAGCCCAGTTTCAGTCATCTCTTGCATGTTTGGAATCCTTTACTTATCCTCCTGCACCCAAAAAGCTGAGGAGACACGTGGAATTAACCAAATGATTGGATTCGGAGGAGTCCACAAAGAATTTGTCTCAGGAATGAAATGGACAAAAATACATGCATGTGTGGAAAGAATAAAATGATATTTCTTTCACTGAATAATGGTGACAGGATTTTTGTGTGCTCAGCATATCGTTGCTGCATTGGACGAGCTGTAGACCACCGCCGTGAGAGGCATAGAGTAATGAGATCATGTCAATCCTGTAAAGACCTGCGTACAAACTATGTCTTTATCATGTGGTAGGCAAAGGATTTTTTTATGTTTTATTTTATTTTTTATTACATATACTATTGACAGTAATATTCAGATTTTGTTTTCCTTTTTAAGTAAATGAGTTTCACTTCTCAGCACTTATAATAACAACTATTGAGATATAATTTCATTAAAACAATCCATAACATGACTTTAAGGATTAAAGTTTGTGTTTTCAAAAAGCATATCTTTTAATTTACCATTTTTCAATAACTGTAAGCTTGGCAATAACTTAACTAACATTGTTCCTGTATACCTTTATAAAACAAACAAAAAAACACATCAAATACTTTATGATTAATGTGTTTTGTGGGTTAAAAATCCAGTCACAAATCAGATTAATTTGATTCAGATCCGTCCTGTCCTCAGTTTAAACTACTCATTTACACTGAAACCTAGTGTAAATGTATCTAAAAAAAAAGTTTAAAATTAAAAAAATCCATGTAAATCCAATTTTACCCTCTGAAGTCAGATAATCCCAGTCAGAACAGCCACTTGCAGACATCCACACCACAGGACGGTGACTGGGAGAGTGCAGAGAGTCACACTGCAGAGATCAATGTGTGTCGCAGAGAGAACAGTTTGTTTAGTGTACGCCGAGTGTGCGCGTGTGTGTATGTGTTGGGTAAGCCTGTTTTTTATGACTAAGGCGTGATAAGATATGTAGGGAGAAGGGCAGCATTGTCAGTCACTTTCTCCTCCTAAACCCCATTCATCAGTAAAAGTACAGTATGGAGAATCCAGGAAAAGACGTATTACTTATTATTTACCCTCTCATGCTTTGTATAGCAAAGGATTATTATATATTCGATCTTTTTCCCCCAAAGAAACAGTTTGACAAAAAAAATGCCAACTTTACAACTCATTTAAGAAATAAGGCTCAATTAAGAAGATAAATTAACTCATATTTGTACCAGTACAGGACACATTCCCTAAAACAAACACCAAAAAGTGGGTTTGCACTCACATGGCAATGGTCCCTAACGCGCACGTGACGTTTACGGGACGCCCTGACCGGGGTTCGAACCTGCGGATCCTCCCAGTTAAAGGAAGACACGCCCTGAAACCCTGAGCCAGAAGCCGTGATTCTGCCATAAAAAGCCCAACATTTGATTCGAAATCACACAAAAAAAAACTTTTGGGGACGACTTCAATCCTCCCGGTGTGAGCCCCAAATCAAATGGTGTTATGAAAGAATAGTTTACCACGCTAAATCAGATGAATACATAGAGATGCAGATGTTGTTTTTCTTTTTTTTTCTCCTCAGCAGAAACGGGACGTCTCAAGTCTAACGGGGCTCAGAGGTTTCTTTAAACTACGACTAAGTGACAGGATGGGGTCAGAATGGAAAAACCGTTTTCATGCCATCGGGGCCCTCTCACCGTGTCTCTGCCGGGCGGTAAGGTCCCGGGTCCTTCCTGCAGATCCCACCGGCTGATCGTTAAGCAACCAACGCCGTGAACATCCCTGCAGCGGTGTGGGGCACATCTGGCCCGCGCGGGGCCCGTAGGTTTACCGGGGGAGGGCTCGTCCGGACCGAACCGGTGTGCATCGCAAACCAGACGCTGCGTAATCGAGCGGCTCTCAGCGTAAAGACGCGCTAAAATGCCCACCGGGGGTGGGTGAGGGGGGGCAGAGGCGGGCGGAGACACGAGCAGCCGGTCTGTCGGTCTCCGTCTGGCATTTACAGCCGGGCAGGAAGTCAGAGAGACGCTCACATCCTGATCCAATTCTGCCCAAATGAGACTTCAAATGAGACGCGTTGAACTGGGGCTCCACGTGTTTGAATTATGACACGTGATCGGAATTGCCTTTTTTTATGTTGGTATTAACATCTAAATACTTCAGCACAGCCTGAAACCTCTTTGAGCTCTTCTCAGAGAAGGAAGCTCTTCTTTGGATGGTGGCTGTCTTGCAGGGCTGACTCTGCTTCTGTCCTCCCCTCTTACTATTTTCAAAAAGTTTTCAAGTTTCCTCAAATTGTTTGCAACCACGTGGATGCAAAAACTACACTAAAGTGTCTGTTAATCAGCTATCTTTGGTATTTGTCACAATGAATGTAAAAAAGGGAATAATAATTGTGCTGTTTGTAACAAAATGCCTAAAAACGCTACATTAAACTGGCCGTCCTGTCCACGCATGGAAAGCCACGCGTGGACAGGACGGTGTTTGGATGGGTGTCTAATTCGATCCTAGCAAGACTCTTGTCTGTATTTCTTTCGCTGATTTGAGCAATTCTTTGTAAATGCAGCGAAAAAAACCGCATCTAAATGTTCTACATTTAGTTGAAAATAGTTTTTCCAAACCCTTCACGTTTAAGAGCAGAAAGGCAGCAGCGTGCACTCACCTGTGTTCCAGCGCGGTGGCTCCCCCTGCTGGCAAAAGCACATCACTGCACACCTCTGCAGCTAAAGTCGTTTGCGTAAAATCAACAATACAACGCTCTAGCAAAAGAAACTGGATATGTTTATTAAAAAAATGAGAAATAACTATAAAAATTAATACTTAGTAAAAAGTTTTTGAAAGCTTGCTGCTTTAATAATGTTGTAGGACATTATTTTTTCTGTTTCGTTGACTCAAAGTGAAAGAGATCGAATGGATAGTGGTGTTATGATAACAGATATGAAAATATAGTGAGATTAATAAGTTTAGTGCATCTCAGACCGACTACATTTCTTATTCAACTCACTTCTTTTTAATGTTCAATTATTTTAATGAAGATGTAATTTTCATGTTTGACCACTAGAGGGCAGAAAACTCCAGTTTCCAGTTACAGGAGCTGAATGTCAGGGGGAGGACATGGTGTACTGGCATGATTTTTTCCCCCACCAGTTCTAAAAATACAGGCAAAAACCATAGGATAGAAATTGCAGATATGATTTTAAGCCATCATTTTTCAAAAAGAAAGTTTAAGTTTGATACTTACAGCCTGACTTTAAACCATGATGTGAGCCCTCTAAAGGTGAGGTTGAGACGATTGACCGACGAGGTCAATTCAACCACTCACCCACCCACCCACACACACACACACACACACACAGACATACACAAACAAAAACAGCTACTCACGCTTAGGCATTCTCTGAAGGTCAGTACATGCGTTATCTCTCACAAGGGTTTTAGGTTCCGGTGATGGCGTGTGTCCCTGTGTTTGTGGGGTGTTTTGTTTCAAGGCACTTATTTAACTTGGTGTGTGTGATGTTCTGCCGTCTCTGTCACTTCGTGGTCCCTTGACAGAACTCGATGAATCTTAATGGTTTCTATATTTACCCAGAGTCCTCTCGTTGCCTGCCCATTGGCAGAGCCTAACACTCCCGCGACATGCTTGGACTTCTGTGAGGGAAGTCAGCTGTCAGTCGGTCCTAAGCGCTACCTGTCTGCTGCCAGCGTATGATCCGGGCTTTTAGTGTGCTTGACTTTAAAGACTTTGATTCAATTCCTATCTATCTGTTGGAGTGCAACATGCCAGATGTGCTGATTTACTGCATATTTAAATGATTAATTATCCTGCTGTGTTACGTGTTGTGCAGCAACAGCCATCCTGCACTGTCAGCTCAAGCCTTTGTGAAAACATTCCAAAAAATAACATCGGAGTTTCACATTTAAATGTTTATTCTTCCAGTGGGTCTCAATTTGGAGCCCACAAGTCAGAAGTCTTGTGATGGTTGACGCACAGATGCAGGTAGGTCTCAGACAGAGTTAGAGATGTGTTATACAATCTCTGCCTGGTACATTATGTTTTCATTTTGTTACCATTGCAGTGAATCGGGGCCAGTTCCTCCAGTTGAGGACTGTACTTAATGAAACCGCTATACTTTCCTCTCGGACTTCCTGGAATAATGATCATCCAGCAGAAAATAGGAAGGTGGGCCGAGTTGGCAGAGATTTGTATTTGACTTTGGTGAGAAGACTCTTAACTTGTTGGCTTTTTTTTTTATTTACCAAACATTAGGGAAAACACTAAACGTGCCATCCGTTTGAAAGGAAAATGGAGAAAATATAATACTTTGTCTAAAGGCAAAGCATGTGAAAGACAGGACAAACAACGCAGCACATTCCTCTGTATGTACAACATATTTCCATATACATTCTATTTACACAGCGACTAGTCGGCTGAGAACTAAAGCGGTGATACGGCCGGGCCGCAGCATCTTGAGATGCGAGAAAGATGGAGGTTGCAAACTATTCGGAGTCGGAGATGAATTTCAGCTTGCAGTCAGGTAGAGCTCAGTCGTGTTTTTCGGCGGCTTCTGTGATGTCTACGCCCATCTGCCACTCGAGGCAAAGCTCCTGCTCATGCTGTACATGGCAGTGGCGCTTTTGTGTTTCCCCCAGGCTCCCAGCGGGATGATGACGATGGTGGAGTTGTCCTCTGAGCCGTACTGTAGCGCCTGAAACACATTTGACATCGTTAACTGCTAACTGTTTTCAGCCATTGAACGGTTAAATGCCTGAGGACCTCTCAAGGAGACGTTCTCCTTACCACGAAACATGGGCTCATGGAAAGAGGACTCTTGAATTGTAAGCAGCTCGCTCATGTTTCCGTATTAAAAAGTGGAAAATACTGAGGGCAAGTTAAAGAAGAAAATAGCTATTGGATTTTATTATATGAACCTCCATGGTAAAACAGCCAAAAAGCTTTGACAGCTTTGTGAAATAGAAACAAAACCAGAATGTAGAGATCTTCTGTGTTCAATCATATTTGAATGGTTGCTTGAGTCATTTTTCTTTTGTTCTTAGTTTTTTTCTTCTTTCTGTTTTTGTGTGATGAATTGCTCTATAAAGATGAAAAAACAAAGCTCTTGTCTACCTGCTGGGCAATGACGTCGGCAGCCTCGGTGGGATCCTGGCATTGCTTGATGACGTCACAGATCTCCTGGTCACTCAGCAGGAAGTTGATGCCATCGGTGGTCAGAGCCAGGAAGGCGTCGTCGGCATGTTTGATCTGCAGACAAACAGGTCGGGCTCATCCGGTACAGCCGTTGCTATGGTGAGGGAGCCTGCCATCGATGGCTGGGGTAGTCAGGGTTTGACTTGAGCTGAGGGTCAAAGGTGACATGACACTGCATTGAGACTCACCTGGAGTCGTTTGGTTTCTGGCTCTGCAATGACGCCGCTGGACTTCAGGTGGAAGTCTCCGATGCTGCGGGTCATGGCGAGCCGCCCGTTAACGTTCGCTTGGCCCACGCTGTTCCACGTCACAAAACCACCCAGTCCCTGGATCCTGAACCAAAACAATATACTCAGTCAATTCCTGTACACATTCATTAACATATCTTTTTTGTTTTGGGAATATTTATATAGAACCCCCCAGAAATGATATATTTGCAGATTTGTCAAATGAATGGGCAGAGTCACATGTTATCTAAAGCTGTAAAACATAAATATCTACAAAAAGCTGCACGTTACTTGAGAACTAGCTGGTGTGATGCAACTGGCTTTAAGTTAGCAATGATGGAGACACGACAGCTGCTGAAATTGGCGTTTCAGTGACATTTAAAGACGATTTAGGACTCTGCGCGTGCATCTGCGTTTCACATTCGCAGAATCTTGGCACCGTGGGACGAGCTCTCTTGACGCAAGTGTGTAGTTAGACGTGGGGCCGCTTTGCTGTGACATAACACCAGCTGCTCTCAGCTGAAGGGATCCCCAAACCTGTCCAGGCACAGCTCTGTCGGAAGGTCCTTCCATTTTGACACACTGAGGAGTCCATTTATAACTCGCCTGATTGGCTACTGGTGGGAAAACTCCCCCGTGCTGTCCAATCCGGTGCGCTTAGGAAAGTCTTTGAGCATGCTATTGAGTCTTTTTGCAGAGTATGTTTCACTAATTATATATTTTTTTAAATGAAATCTGACACATTTGAGTTGATTTGGTTGGAATGTATTTTGATTATATTGTAATAAGTTAGATGACAGATTACTAAACTGTACTTTTTAAAGTTACATTTACCACAATTTGGGGCTGAATTTAAATGAATACTAAATAAATCATGTACCGTTTCCTCTCGTCTTTGCGGTCAGGTGTGTGGTCGGTGGTGAGCTTCGTTGCTCTTCCATTCCTGCACAGCATTGCCCGACTGTCACCAACACTGCCGACCACCAACTCCACTCCATCGCGTAGCAAAGCAACTGTTGCCGTGGTTCCCACTCTGAGGAAAGAGTCTGGGGAAGGAGCAAACATTACTTTTAAAAAAGGTACTTTTCAAGATGACCTTTGTTTTGGTTATGCACTCAGAAGAAATTAGTACTTTTGTAGTTGTGTTTCTTTGTGTTTTCACAACTTAGCAGTGACTCCGAGCCTCTGTTGCCTCTCTTGTGAGGTAACAGTTGAGCATCAGCATATTCTCACAGTCTCAACGTGGCCTGTTAGATATGTGTTAATTTGATGTATTGTGAAACTAACTGCCAACACTGTTAAAAATGCAAAAGTCCACACCACTCCTGGAACAATTAGCTGTGTTATGTTAGTATACTGTATGATGTTATTTGATGATTGACATAGCTTTTGTGTGAAATAAAGCCACCCAGGAGTAAGTAAGTAATAAGTTATCTCTTTTCCTCTGGAAGCATATATCACCATTGTTAAAGTAGCTGAGATGGGTGTGCAGAGCCTTGTCAGCATCTAAAAAGGCCTTCTTCAGGACTTTCTCCAGGTCATCGTCCTCCTCCAGAGCACCTCTGCACCAGAACATTCAGCAACTTGTAACATGCAGTCATTAAGGGGACTTAATTAAACAGCAAAAGGGTGGATAACCGACCTGATGAACTTTTCCATGAAGGTGTAGCAGTAGTCAGCAGCGTGTGGGCCCCCGTGGCCGTCGAACACGGCAAAGTACAACAGGTTGTCCTGGATGTGGGCGATACGGAGACGGTCCTCGTTCTGCTTTCTGAGACCCAAAACGGAAGTACTGCCAACACGAGACAGACTGACCTGAGACAGCAGGACAAATGTGTTCAATTTTCCTCAGATTTACACCAGCGGAGTGAATCTTTCTTTATGTGCCCTTTCTTTCGTCCACACGTCCTCACAGACATTGCTTCACTCTGCTGTATTATTTATCTATTTATCAAAGTGCTTACTTGTGGAATTGGTTTTCCATATCTGATACTAGAGGGGAGCAGTATTGGTTCTTCTATCCGGTTGTCCCAAATACCGAATGAGTCCCAAGTCACCGGCCGGCCGCTGCCATCACTGTCGAATCTGACCGACCCGCTGGCCCGCCGGGCACCCACCACCCCCAGAACTGGCACTCCGGCCTGAGGGGTAATTATCTGAGCAAAGAAAGAAAAAGGCTGATGTATACCATCATATACAGCTGTTTAAAGATAAAAGTTCTGATGAAACGGTTGGTAGAATTTAATCTAAAAAAAAACCCCCACTGTGGGTCCATTCCTGAATAAGAAATGACTGGAAGTTATGTGACTTAAAAATGTGATATGTCTCAATCACTCGTTTTTAGGACTCCTAAGGTAGTCGGTATAGTAATGCCAATAACAATAACATTTCTGTTTTCTCTGCATTCCAAATTTTCAAATAATTCTACGCTAATTTGAAGTGGAGGAGGGTGTCATAGGTCGGGGGTTACATTTACTGCCTGTAGGTCAGCAGAACGTGCTCTGATCTTCCAAAACCTGCCAACCAAAACACACTCGTGGGGATGGGATTCACCTGCCCCGGTGTGGAGGCTTCTGCTGATGCTCGTACAGCGAGCGGAGTCTGCCTGGTGACAGAGGCGCGACCACAACGCAGGAGGTTCAGCAGCAAAGCAGACGGCATGGCTGGCTGGTTTTTAGAAGAGCTAGATAAACCTGGCCAGAAAGCGGATTTCTGAACTGAAAAAACAAAGAGGAGGACAGTTAACAAATGATACAGAAGTCGAAGTAGCAATACTAAAGGTATAACAGTCATAATGAGCAGCTGTTCCAGAGACACTTAATGATCATGAGCTTCTTAAAAATGGCACAATGGTACAACTGATGCTGTTGGTTTAAAAAAAAAAAAAAAAATCAACCTCTCATGTAAAAGTCAACAGGTAGTCAGAGAAATTCAACTTTATACCTTGAAGCACAATCCAATAACAAGTGTCCCATTAGAAGATATTCAGCGTATCTGGTCATCATGAATTAAAAAAGATTACTTTAGTTTCAAGGTAAGAATAAGATTAGTTTTTGTTTTGTTGATGAAGAGTATAGAAAAAGTAAGAGGGTGTCAGCTCTTGGCTTTAGGTTGGAACAAAAATCAAAAATCTTCAAAATAATTGACATTCAGCGGATATATCGTTTTCCTAATTTTTCCAGTATCCTTTAGTGCCTGACCTTTTCACAGCTCCACCTGAATTTGTGTGTGCTCCACGAATAGCCCTGCAGCTTTATTTTTTGCACCATATCCATAACAAGCAGGTCATATGCTACAGGCCAGGCTCTAAAAATACACACAATGTTTGCGTATGTTTTTTTCCCTTTTCCTATGTAAAAAATCTTTTTAAAAACAACAACAGGAAAACGTATGCATATACACGCACATGTTAAAAAAAAAACAATCCAAACTAAACCCGAATTAAAGTGTAGGGCATGTTAACCCTGAAATCATGACCTTTCCCCCATTTCCCAGTGAAGCGATCAACGTTTCACCAGGCTGTCTCAGTGGGAATCGATGCAGAACTACCGACACACGACTTCTGCAGTGCTGCAACACCTGCATGTGAGGTTTATTGCTTATTACAAGAATATAAACTTATGTATACAAAAAAACACATCATCACTTTTTTCTCATGACCTATCAGAATGTCATAACACATATAACATATCATAACAAAGACCAGCAACAATGACTTGTTTAAGCTTCTTGTTAATGCTTTTTTTCATTATTTTTATTATTAGTCCAGAGACGTGACTCTAAAGAAGCATGAAAAAAAATTATATAAAAAAGAAGGGAAGCAACCAAACTGACAATATCCCATCAATCTGCTAAAGAATAAAATAAAGGAGTCCACAGCATGCCTGCATTTGTTCTGCAGGGTGAAAACATCAGAATGGAAGCTGCAAAAACACACCTGTTTGCTTTTGTTAACAGGTGACTTTCCCGCTTGTTGCAGTTTCCTTGGCAACAGCTGTCCAGGGTTCCATCTGCAGATACCTCAAGCCATCAGTCCCGCTCACGCTGTGGCTCCGAAGCAGCCCGAGGGGATTTAAACTGAGCCAAAGCGCCAATAGGAGCAGGAGAAGCCCTGACGTACCATGGACAGAGGTGGGGGGAGGGTGGGGTGGGGGAGGGTTGGGGGGGGGGGGGGGGGGTACTGTACTGCATTCTATTGGGTACACCTTCACCAGAAAACCAAATATCAAGGGAGCACCATTTAGTGCAGGTTATTGAACAAATCATCCAAATTTTCAACAATTGTTATCTATGATCAAAACAAGTTTGAAAAAGGCAAAAGAATAATAGATTTATGTGTTGTTTGTATGTAGTTTTGTTGAGGATGTGTATTCCACATAAAACACCACATCATGCTCCATGTTAAAATGTAGAGACACATCAATCTATTTGAAACGTTGGAAAAAGCATGTTAAAACATTTGATTGGTTCTATACATTTCTATAATTATGAAGTGCTATGAAGCTCTGGTTGACAAACTTAGGGCTGTCACTGTGGTCCTGCAGGACCCCCTCTGGTCAGCAGACAGTACTGCAGACATGTCACAGGACGGCCGGTTACTCCACCTTTCAGAGTGCTTCAGAGCTTTGAGGTAGGGTTTGATTGCTGAAAAAAAGGATGATTGAGGAAAAACCAAGAACAGAAATGATTATTAAAAACGATTGTGAGTCTTATCATCAACATACTTTATTTATTATTCCAGTTGTATGAACATCAGCCTGATATCATTTATGCTTTCAACAGCACTCTGTGTTCTTTGTCCACTATTGAAATTGTGCACTTTACAACATACACATTATGGAAAAACAAATCCGTTTACATCAAACTCCATATATGGGGCTATTTTAAACAGCTTTTTAAAAGATTTAGACATTAAATTTAGCAGTTGTATCTTTATAATATTTAAACCAAACAAAGTAAAATTTCTCAAGAACAATTTATGCTTTTATTATTCCAGAAGCACAGAACTAAAGTTGCAAGATTATTGGAAAATGCAGCACTTTTCTTCCACCTACTTGTGAAAAGTCCAATAGCAAAAATCACTAATTGTGTAACATAACATAATTAAACAAGTGACACAGGGGTTATGATGATTTTAAAATCCACTTTTAAAATCATCATTACCCCTGTGTCACTTGCCAAAGATTGAAAGAATAGAAAGTTATTCATTTTTCATTTGATAAATTACACTGTAAATGTGGGAGTGCTATTGAAATATAGTAATAATCTTTAGTCTTTAAACTTTCACAGGCTTTCATTGACACTTTAGTTAACCATCCTCACTGTAGTGTGCGTGTGTGTTCTCGGTGTGTTCTGAAGTTGCAGTTGAATAAAACATGGGAGAGACCCAGTTGTTAATATGAGGGTGACTCTAACGTTTCTGAATAATTCAATAAAAGCAACCCCGCTCCATCAACAACAGGAATCCCTTATGCAGTATGCAGAGACGGAGGAGGTGTTACGTAAAAGACAGGAGGAGAATGAGGAGGTCAGAAGAAAAGCCAATAAGACAGGATGTACCAGTGAGGCCTTAAATATGAACACATCAAAGGAAAGGCAGCAGAAAATGAAAAGCGTTTACATGTGGAAATATAACAATAACTAGATAATGATAATGATAATAATAAAAAACGGTTGGTGACTGAAAGAATGAACACTAAAGCAGTGACACATGTAAAGAACAATTGAGAAAAGACAAAAAAAAAGAAGGACAGAAAGAAAAATACAGAATGATGAAACACAAAGAAATCAAAAGAAGTGATGAGCAGGTAAAAATGTTTATGGACAGGATGAGAAAAGGGAAACAAATGAAAACTAAGTCCTATAAGACAGCAAGCAATGGAAAGAGGAGAGCATGAATTTGAGATTTTTTTTTTTTAAAAGTGCAAAAGTAGGCAAATGGCCAAGGAAGGAAATGTGGGGGACAAAGTCTAAAGAAAATGGAAAGGAGAGAAAATATTCATGAGGAATGAAAATCTAAAGAAAGGAAGAAAATGTGGAAAGAACAAGAAAAAGATGCATAATTAAGGAGAATGAGTGTGCACACGGACACTAGATTAAAGGAACCAAATAAAAGTATGCATAAAAAGTGTGTTTGTATAAAGATAAAAAGAGAAAGCAAGTAAGGGAAAGAAAAAGAAGGAAAATAGAAGAGTAGGAAATGGTGATAAAAACAAATAGTCACAACAAAAGGAAATGACAATAAGTTAGTTTTAAGTACTTGGGACCCTGTGAGCTGGTGGGTAAGTGCTTTGTGCAGTGTTTGGTGAAAAGTGGATAAAATATTAACAGGCAAAAGAAACGCTGTACTCTCTGCTCAGTGTCAACATGCAGCGCCACTTAAAACAGAGCCTGGAACAGATCTGGGCATGTACTGACAGAGAGAGTAAAGCGATGGAACAGAAGCGATAATAACTGATTACTATGGCAACATTCTTCAAAAAATGTCAGCAAGATCAAGTGTTGAATAATCAAATCCAGCTCTACAAAATACAACAATTTTTGTTGTATAACGACTTATATGAAGGACGGAATGCACCTTACTGAAACTAAAGCCCAGCCTAAAGTTCTCACCACAGCTAACAGCTACGTGCATTCAACATTTAATGGGAGAGGAAGTCTGCGTTCTGAGGTAGCAAGCTGACAAGGATAGTGACACTGGGGCCATGTAAAGTCTTTCATCCTTTCATATCGGGGAAGAACGTGGAGAACGAAATGCAGCGATAACTTAGTGTGTTCTGTTTGTGTGCGAACTTTTACAGTCATGTGCAATGTTGGGGCCAACAGTGGGTCTGATCTCAGTCTGACACAGAGGACGCTTTTCCGCAGCATCCCAGAATCCCTCCGGTCCTGTTCTTCTTCTCCCTCATTCTGTAGCCTCTCAGGCTGCTTTCGGAGCAGATGGACTTCCTCAGAGTGCGAATGCGTTCCTCCTGCTCCCGAATCTTCGACTCCAAGTGGGACTGGATGGCCGTGCCCAGAGATTCAAGGTCCACCGAGGCGCCGTACACCTCCCAGGTCATCCCCTGCTTGTCCCACACCACCTCCTGAGGCTTTTCCGTCTCCTCTCTGTCCTTGTCCTGCTCTTCGTCATAGCTTCTCCCCCTTTTCTCTTCTTCCTCCCCGTCTTCCCAGATGCTCTCAGAGCTAACGTCTCGGCTGTGGGTTTGTCCGAAGCCCGGCAAGAGGGGGGGGTTCTGCTGGAAGCTGAAGGTGCGCAGGCAGACGGGGAGGGAGCTTGCCTTGTCGGCCGCAGAGGGGGGAAGCAGGGCCTGGTTCCGCAGCTCGATGTCAATCTTGCAGATGTGCCTGAGGGACGGCTGACAGGAAGGGATGCAGCACAGCGAGGGGACTGTTGGGGAGGTCAAACTCTCTGATTGACAGCTCGGGGTACCAATCAGGGGGGAGTATGGATCGCCGGAGTGGCGGATGGGACTGGTGGACACTGAGCGCTCAACCACCTGAACTCCCACCTGAACTCCCACCTCTCTCTGCTCCCCCGCCTCAGGGTGGAGCTCCCCGGACCGGTCGGTCATGGTTGCACTCTCTGTGAGCCTTCTGTTGGAGGTCGGTGCATGACTATAAGAAGAAGGAGGAAGATGATGAGGAGGGGACAGAGAGCCCCCTTGAACATCGTTCTGTTTCCTACACCCCTGCTTCCTCCTCTCCTCTGCCTGTGCACCGGTTGCCTCGGATGATGGGATGCTGCTTCCAGTGGTGCTGGTATTTGTTTCTCCCGGGTGACCTGCTTTGCTCGGCAGGGTGCCTGACATCCTCTTCTTATCTCCAGGCGACGGTCCTGTATTGTCAGTCACGCACCCGTGGGAATGCAATTGTTCTTTCCCATCTGCAGCATCTGTTTCGGCTGACATTTTGGTGATGGAGTCAAATGTAAGGCCCCGAGTTAGGCTGAAATTGGGGGACTCACGGGTGGGATGTGTTTCTGTTTCAGCAGACGATGTAGATTCTGATTTTGATCCCTCCTTTGCAAATGTACTAACTGGGGTTTTGAACTTGGGGCTAGAGGTTGCAAGAGGAGACAGGAGGCCTGGGATGACACCTAAGAGAAGGAAAATAAAGTGTAGAAATGACTGACAAACTTTAACAAGGATCAAATGTGTAGGATTTACTTATGTTGCCTACTTATAAATGGCCTATAAAAAAGCTAGAGGGATGTCAAAAACTCAATGTTTGAATCAAACATGATCAAATAAGTGGTGAAAAGCTGCTGTAATAACCCATTCACACACCCCCCTCCCCCCACTCTTTCTCTAACCAAGTCAATTACAAACATACCATCAGTACTCTCCAAACACAAGCAAATGCACTAGTGTATGTGTGTGCTGACTTGATATGCTAACGCTAGCTAGCCTGGTTTGTAAATTCTTCCATTTTCCAAGTTTAGTCCAATTTTGTGGACCCTTTCCAAGCTCCTATTCGCATACATCTATTTCAAAATTGGACCACAGAAGACGTTATAATTCCAAAGCATAGCAATAATTACCTGCAACAGAACCAGTGCTGTTATGATCTTCTCTTTTTGGTTCAGGTGAACTGGAACCAAGAAATTTCCTATGGGTAAGTGCAGGAATCTTCGTGGTTGATGACACTTTTGGTGAGTCCATCAGTGGAGAGGATGAGTTTATAAGAGGTGACTTTGAACGAGATTGAGTGGGTCGAGACTGGGAAGTATCAGAACTGGTCTTGCAGTCAGGAATAGGCTTAACACCAGAAGTCGAAATTTTGAGATTGCCCTTGGAGATGTTGGATTGAGAAAAGGATTTGGGAAGGTCCAAGTTAAAACTAGAAGCCTGGACAGCTGGTTTACAGGGTGACCTGGTTGGCCTGGGTTTAGTCTCGGAAATACAATCAGAACTTGAGCTCTGATGAAAATTAAAGCTGGCTTTGTCACATTGACTGGTTTTAAGATTTAAGGTGGCCTGTGACTCAGGAACAGATTTGGGATCTTTATTGTTATCTAACGTCAGTTTATTTTTAGAGTCAACAACCATTTCAGAATCTTTACGTCTTTTGATTTCCTTTGTATCTTTAGAGTCAAGGTTGACTCTGGAGCCCATCGTGGACTTGGAATTTGGACTGGTTTTGGAACTATGAGCAATTTTAAAATCTAAACTCTCCTTGGAGTCCAAACTGCTTTTGGATGCTGAGCTGCTTTGAGAATCTAGAGTTTCGATGGAGCTCATCTGGGACTGAGATGTTGAACTGCTTTTGTAATCAAGACTTTCCTTGGGCAGGACTGTGGCCTTACTGTTTGTTCTAGATTTTATTCTAGCCCTGTAAGCAGAGCCAGCAACTGAATCCTTGGCATCAAGAATCTCCTTGAGCCCTGATGGGTCGGAGTTTCTAATGCCCCTGCCTTTACTTTGCGTGGATGGTTTAGAACTAACAGAGGTCACTTTAAGGGTTTTGGCACTAACGTCTTCCCTCTGACTTGGTGAGGTAAGCTGTTTGGATCTGTTTTTTGCTGACATCACCGGTGTCCGATTTGCGAGTCTTGGGCTAATTGTGTTTCTGTCTTTTTTCTGATCGTATATTTTTGGGTTTATGGGTAGGTGGAGAGTTCGTGGGGATTTTGCTTCAACTCTAACTTCTTTCCCATCCTCTTCTTTGCAGCTCGGTTGCATGGTTTTGTTTGAACTCTCTGTTCCTGAATCCTTTGCAGATCTATTTTTTTGTGTTTCTGTTTGGACTCTCTCCGCTCTCCTGGGGCTGGCATCTATCGGCGTCTTCTCTAGTCGATGCGGCTTTGGACTCGTCACAGTTAAGAGGCTTTTCACGTCTGGAGATTTCAGATTTGTCTTGACCATCAGTTCAGATGTTGGTGAGTGGGACAAAGATGGGATTTTGCTTTTCTCTCTATCTCCAGGTGACCTGGATCTTGGTTCCATGGATACTTTGACTCTCATTACTGATTTCCCATTTCCTTTATTGCCTCCATCCTTTTTGTTTCCAGAGTCCAGTTTTGAGGTCTCTGCAGCAAAGGGAGGGTTTCTTGGTGAAGGCATGTTGAAGTTGAGATTGAAGTTAGGCTCCACATCCCATGTAGAATTATATTCTGTGCCGTCCGCAGCATCTGAAACCTCCACCTCCCCTGGAATGGAGCACTCAAGTTCGAAGACATCCCTTCTATGTTTTGAAGCATTTGGGGTGTTTGCCATGGTGATGGTATGTGTCTCCAGCAAAATGAGTAAAATTTGTTTTGGTAGAAATGATCCCATTAAAAGTAAGCACCTGATTGGATAGACAGAAAAAAAAGTTTAGTGAGACATGACTGAGCTTAGAATATTATTGTTCTGATTATTACCATAATGTAATGACATTTGCTTTCAAGATGTACTTGTTTTTGGCACAATAGCTAATATGTGTGAGTTTTTGCCAGATATATAAAAAAATTGGGGTCATTTTAATTGAAATATAAGTCACAGAACACCCTTTTCAGCACTGTGTCTAGTGCTGTCCTTGGTGCTGAACACAGCAGATAGCTGTGCATCAAAGGCATCTTCCCTATTGTTGTTGAAACTGTCTGCGTTGACAACTTTTGAACCACATAAGATTTGGCTAATTATGCTAAATTTGCAAATTGTGGTAATCAGTGTCTGAGAAACGTCTGGTCTGTTCTGATGTGCTACATGACAACCATCCCACTGGAAAAACATATCCAATATGGCGGCTTTGAAGGTGGCGGCCATGTTTCAGACATAGCCTAAAAGACAGGGCCTTCACCCATTACTCGCTAGGACATTGTTTTTTAAATGAAAAAGTATCCTGTGATTTTTTAGTCACCTGGCACATCATTGATATTATACATTACTGCATGCAAGGTTCCAATTCAAAAGTAAATGTATTTGAAAATGTATAGCCCACTATAGTCATGTAAACTTTCCCATTAATGCCAGTTAACATCATAGTGGACCCAAGTAATTTCCACGTCAGCATGTGTGGAGTCTGGACACAGCATAAACAGAGCCCAACTTGAGTCTATTGGTCAAAGCAGCTTATGAGGACAACAAAAAAGAAACTGCAAATAAAACCTGACACAAATAACAATCCAACATCAAACTAAATTTTGTATTTGTATTTAAAAGAACATATATATACAAATTAGAAATTCATGTGAAAAAATGCATCAAACTGTTATAATTTCTTGACATAAAATAATCAATAAGTAACCACTGAGCTATTTAAATTAGATTGGGTTCTAATTAAATGATTCATATGCATGAAATATTAATAGAGATTCAATAAGTGTTTTTTTCTTTACCTGCTGTACTTGACACATTAATCATAAAATCTTAATTTAACACATTAATTCTGATCATTTCTTGAAGATGCCTCACGTTTCCAGCATTATCACTGGACTTAAGATGTGATAGTTATTTAATTAATATCCAACCTAATAATCTAAGTAGGAATCCATCCACTTCATCATTTCAAAATGCATCTGGCTTCCAAACAAATGACAGAAAGAGGGGTTTTATTCACACCTACCCTGACCCCACAGACACTGGTGCTGCTCGGCAGAGGGGTGGTTGAAAAACTCCCGGCTAAGAAAGCAAACAAATCTTCAGCTGCTGCTCCCTTGTTCACTCCTACTTGGTCCTCCAGAGGAGGCATCAGAGAAAGTATTAATAGAGGAGACAGAGAGTGAACAGAGAGCTACTTTTGCTCCTCCTGCTCCTTCCCTGCCTCTCTTCAGTGGCCCTCCTCCATCTGTGGTCTCCTGTAGCTCCTCCTCTTGAAGCCACTTTCCCTTCCTCTGAGTCCTACTGTTCTTTTATTAATCCTCCTCATCTTTCCTGTACACTCTCTTTATTCTCTATACACAGAATCTTATAGCATGAGTAATGGGTTATTTCACACACAGATGATAGCAGATCCATGTTAAACATGCAGGTACAAAAATACTAAACCGGACCTCTGCTGTGACGGTAAAGCTGAGGCCCCTAGATGTCAGCATGTGTCTCTCCCACTGACATTTTGCAGGTGCAGCTCTGGGGGCCCCATGACTGGCAGAGCCCCCTAGGCTCATGCCCCCGACAGGCCTGGCAGAACGACACAAAAACACTATGTGGGAAAATGGGCAGCATTCAGCCGAGGAACAAAAGGGATGTCATTGAAGAGTATTTTCTTCTGTGATGTTTTAAGACCCTCCTCAGCATCATTCTGCTTCTTCTCAATAGAATGGTGAGTAACTTTCCCAAGTTTACACAATTGTAAATCATGTTTAGCAGACATGTATCCAAGTAAATGTAAAACAAAATGAAATAATTTGACTTAGGATGTGAGTTTTGGATACAATTGGACAAAAAACTTCAGTTAATTCCAAGGACAGAAATCACTGTTGGGTGTCCTTGGAGCCTTCAGGCCGTACCGTCAAAATGCCACTGCACCGTAGGCCGCATGGACTCAGAATCTTCTACCAGACATGTTATTTGTAGACGGAGGAAGCTTTAGCATTTTATCTTACAGAAATCCAATCCATCATTGTGTCTGACTGCTGATACACGTGTGTCTGAACAAGTAAGATCTCTGTGTGTATTTGTGAAAATTGTCAGAGGGCATGCTGAAAGGGTTACTGGGACCTGAAAGAGGAGAAAATACAATACAGCTGTCCTCAGATCAGGAAGATATTCCAGTTCTGACTTGCTTAGTGGGGAAACAACATGTGGGCCACTATGCGTGGCAGAATTACAGAGTAAGTGAAGTTTAGCCAGTAGAGCTCAGATAGGAGATGTTACAGCATCACCATGTGGCCACATACTTGAATTGTATGTATTGTATGATTTTCTTTTACCTTCTATATTTGACTTTTTTTAAAGTATTGAAATTTTTACTAAATAAAATGGGATCAGTTTGTTTTATACACTGCCTAAAATAAAAAATCTTAGAATACAATTATTTTATCAGTTGGTTGATTTCTTAGCCAGTAATTTATTCTCCTTATTCTTTCAGATGAGGACCATCAGACAGTCATCCTGACCATCAACAGGAATGATGAAAAATCCATAACCAGTTTAAGAACTCAAAGTTCAGGTTCTATTCACAAAGTTCAAGGTTACAACAATTGTATTCTCAAAGCATTTTAAAGATCACACAGAAATTCAAGACAGCAACCATGCAAAATCAAAATAATCTAATTTTGAAGATAAGATGAATGAATACAAGTTGTGCCAACAAAAAGGAAAAAAAAAAGGCTTTTCAAAAAGAAAGACACAGTCAGACTGTGACTTCACATGATCTGATTCAGGGTGTGTATTTTGAGACTGATTATATTCGGATAATGTCAGAGGTATTTTCCTTCTTTTCTCTGACTGATCTTTCTCCTATGTACAGACTTTGTCTCTACTTTACATACAAGATCTACAGAATTGATTGTATGTCTGACTTTGAAGTGCTCATCTCCAAATATGGTGTTTTTTCCCCCTGATCCATTTAATGGAATAAGATTTTAAAAAATCCATGTAAACAAAATCACTGTATTTGCTTGATGAGGGAGTGGCAAATTCATGACAAACACTGGCAGACCAGAACAGAATGGATTTAAATCAGCCCTACCTTTGAATTATTCCGTCTTGAAGATTTTTGATCCATTGTAGTTTACACCGAACATGCTACGAGTCTACACAGAACCATGTGTGCTTCATTAAAGTCAACCATACATTATACAGTTTAATCAAACTGGCTTATTAAACTTGTGACTCAGTTAAACCCGTGGTACTGGAGACCAAGCACAGCCCATAAACAGCTGAAGTGTTGGGGAAACACCTGCTGCTCGAGGTATTGGGCTACATTTGTTGCTTGGTTCAACACAAAATCTGAGCCACTTAAGATACACTACAAATGTATGCAATACATACAATTTTCAAAAACATGATTCAGGTTTATAGTATCTCAACCCTTTCTGCCTTGCAAAGCTAAGATTAAAAGAATCTCCTTCGCCACAGGCACAGATAATGAAACCAAGATTAGCTTCTGTTCTGTTCTACTAGACCTCACACACAGACTGTGTTATTTTGACAAAAATGCAAAACAGCAGCAGAGAAACCACAAAATATATAAGAGACACAGTCATAAATGTTCATCAGCTAAACAAAGACACTGGTGTATTTCAAGGAGGAAATTTACACCACCTGAGCTTTGGCGAGCAGAAACCACAAACAATGCAAAAAAAGTTTTTGTCTTTTTATGTTGTATAAACAGCATAGAGCAGCATGCTGATGAGGTGCAGATTTTAAAAACGAGTTTCAAATTTAAGTGTTCCATTAAGTATATCAAATCTACCAAATATTGGCGTTTCATTGGTTTTCTGACTTTCTCAAAACTGACTCCGCCTTCAAAAAAGGGTTGCACTATTATGTAGTGGGACAGTTCAAGATCGACTGAGCAGTGTTTGTCTTCAGGTCGCAGTAAGGGGGGAAAGTAAAGTCGAGCTACCGTCGGAGAAATTCCAACATCTCCACTCAGATTTCCGATGCCATGGGAGGTAAGTTGACATGACTTTTCTTTTTTGTGTGTAAGACGAACACAGAATAACAATCATAAATGTTTTGATGGTAAAAAGGCAGAATGTCAGCAGAGTCACATACATAACATAAATATAATGTAGGTTCAAATGAGCCGCGCAGACTTCCAAACTTCCTGCATAACTGAATTTGTTTTATGAGATGCTCATACTGATTCTTTGTTTAAGGTATGTTTGTTGTAAATAAAGAAAGACTTGGTTAAAATATGTGACTCAGAAAGCAGGTTGATGGTTGAGCTGCGTGGCTGGGAACAGAAAGCAACTTAAGGATAGGTCAGACAGCTATAAGTAACCCCTCAGCAACTAAGGAATACTTAAAACAGTGCAAAACAGTGACATTTTATATTCTTAAACAATTAAAGAGATTGTCATTACACAGAGAAAAGAGGATAAAAATCAGTTACGGAATAATAGCTGAATAGGCTGAAAAAAACCTTGCCGGGAGCTAAAGTTTGATCACACATCAGGAAGAGTGGCCACTTTTCCTTTGCAGGAAGTATTTATTTATAGCCAACAAAAAAGTATATCCATGATCTATTTTTATTCATGCAACATATGAAACCATCATTATTATTTGAAATCATTGTTTTTTCTCATCAGACCTCAGGATTGCTCTCCTTGGAAAAACCGGAGCTGGAAAAAGCAGCTTGGCAAAAACCATATTTGAAGAGGAAGTGTTTGGCATAAATCACACAGCAATCTCAGAAACATGGGAGTGTCAGAGCGCCACCAGAGAGGTTCACGGAAGAAACGTCACAATAATTGACACTCCTGGATTCTTTGACAGTCGTCACAGTGAAGAGCACATGAGACCTGAGATAATTAAGTGCATTACAGAGTGCGCCCCGGGCCCGCATGCCTTTCTCATTTTACTCAAAGTGGAGAGGTTTACAAGGCATGAGAATGAAATCATATCTAAAATAAAAGAGAACTTTACTGAGGAAGCTTTCAGACGTGCTGTGGTCGTCTTCACACATGGCGACGAGCTCCCTGAAGGGATGGGGATCCAAGAGTTTGTCAGAGGAAATCAGGATCTGAGTCGTCTCCTGCAGAAATGTGGAGGCCGCTGCCATGTGGTGGACAACAGATACTGGACCGGCAACCAGCCGGATGAGTACAGAAACAACAAGATCCAGGTGAGCAATCTGCTCGACACAATAACAGAGATGGTGAACGCAAACGGTGGAGGTTTCTACACCAATGAGATGCTACAGGCTGTGAGCGGACTGATACAAGAGGAGGAGAGACGCATTCAGATGTCACCAGGACAGATGACACGGGAAGAGACCAAAATTAGGGCGAAGAAAAGGGCTCGCAAGGTTCTCAAGATGGCTGCAGGCATAACTACAGGAGCGTTGTTAGGAGCTCTGCTGGGTTTGCCTATGATGATCGCTGCAGTTGTGGTGACGATGAACTGCGTGGGGCCAGCATGTGTGATGCCCAGCGTGTGCATTGGCATTGCTGCTTTAACTGCTGTTGCAGGAGCCGCAGTCGGAGGTTATGTCGGGTATTGTGAGGCTGTCATGGCAGACTCAGCTGCAGAGGCAGCAAAGAACACAGCTCAGGCTGTCGGAAAGCTTGCTTTAAAGGGAATTAAAACAGCCCTGAGTGTAGCAAAAGAGAGTGACTTTTTTGAGGACACATGTCACTGATAAACCTGGCTGTAGCTGTCCATTCCTGTTAGGTATGGCATGAAAATGCCTCTGCAAACCTGCAAACAACTGGAACGGACAGAACAGCTGCAAAAAGATGTGATTAAAGATCATTCAGATGAGGGAATACTTTAAGTGGATTTATCTCTCTCCACTTCGACCCCCTATATTTGCTTTTATTTGAATGAACACTGTATTTATGTCCCCTAAAAAAATTAGGTGTAGGTCTGATGAATGATTTCTATTAAACCTTTGTTCTCTGATGGTGTGGGTGTCCGTCGTGCCGAAGCACATGTTTAATGTCCCTTGTTAGAACATTTGTCCGTTCTCATTTTGGAGGTTAAGGTGGATGATAAGAGAACTTTCTTACCAGTTTTGGCTGTGAATGAATGTATTGATTGAGCTGCTATTATTTAGTTTTTTGCAGACTTTTGTGTGTCTATCTGTTGTTAAAGACTGATAGAAATCACTTGTAAACCTCATAAACCTCATATGCTTCTTTATCACCTTCATGGATAGGGTTTTTATAAATGCTGTTAATGTAATTGGGAATTCTACAATTTTTGCTCTGCTTTTTTGTTTGTCACTTGCTGATGTAGCGGAATACTTTACCCCACTGTTAGTTTGTCTCGGCTTTTGTCAAGAGAAAATATCCTATGTAAATATTGTATCCAATTCAATAAAAAAATCTATTTTAAATCTATCCAGAGACATTTTACAATCTCAGGCCTCATCTGTGCTGCTGTTGTGTGAATTTGTGTTTATGTGTGTATGGTGGGGTAATGATGTACATTTGAACAGGAATGATTTTTTCTTAAATATCATATGCAAGCACAAACCAAAGATGTAGTGCAAAGGCAAAAATAGATAAAAATTATTTTTTCCCTAAGGTAATGCCACATTTTCAAATGATAAGGTTTGTTCATTTCATTGTTGTCTTAATGATGACTACAATTCACATTCATATTATCGTCCTGTCCATCAGTTATGGATGGCAGCGTTAAGTTAGTCATACCCTCCCAGGTAAGGTAGTGATGTGCAGGGTGTGTGTGTGTGTAAGATCTGGTCAACAGTCTCTCTTTAATAGCTTGCTGTTATAAAATCCTGGTTAATATTCAAGTTTCTGCCGGCTTGATTGATATTCAGTCAGCAGATCTTCTCGTCTTCATGTTTATCAGCATCAGTCATACTAGACTAGCTGCAAGGAACGATTCAGCTAAATGATAAAAACCTGTCCAGCACTTACTGACACTGGAGACATTCTTCCCTTTCTGTTCAGAAATTCCGTCAGATCTTATCCTGACTGCTACACCAGTACTTCAGCTTTTTAAAAAAAATTTTTTTGTACCGGGCCCCTCAAACTAACAAAACCAGTCCACTCCACAGTGACAGTTTCAGTGCACCATATCTGAGCAACCAATAGATGGAAGCAGATGAAAAGGGACAATTATGAGACCGGGAAGTCAAGCATGAAAGAATTGACGAATGAAGTTAATATGCATTGTAAAAAAAAAAAGAATCAGAATTTCAAGAACTTAAAAAAACATCTAAAACAATACGACCTGACCTGTTAATCACACATGAGATTCAACGCAGTGACACTGCTGAACAATAATCTGTACATAGATCCAAGTCTATCAGTACCACATGAGAATGAAAATCTGAACCCACAAAAAAAGCTTAGTTAGAACATGCACCCTACAAATCTGAGCCTCAATTTGACAGACAACTTAACACGGAGTTACTGTTCAACGACAACAAAAGGCTTCTGAAACAGGAAACAGAATTTGGAGCTTTGACAAGCGGCCAAGCTCGATCATACAGCTTCTGCTTGTGTGCGGCTTTCATTCCATTCAGCTGGTGATGAACACGTCAGACAGGTGGAGATAGACAGTAATTGCACAGCACAAACTGGATCCGTGCTGATCTCCACACTCTTCTGTTCAGTTGAAAGTGCATGATTCCATATTTGAGGGGAATGGAGTCAGCTGAGTCAAAAATGGACACTGATGAAGTTTTTTCCCAGCCCATTAATGATGGTAAGTCAGTCTGTTTTGTTCTATGTTGTTCAGGAGAACCTTCAAAATATGAAGAATATCTTCAAGACAAGAATTTTGACAATAAGCTGTATTTTTCCCTCCAAAAAAAGAAAGGATACACTTTATTTTCTAAAATGAATAACAACTGAAAATATATATTTTTTAAAAAGGTTCAGAATGCAAATGAGGTTGTGTGTAAATTAAGAACATACAGTACATACAACAGTATTACTATGTATATTATTAGGTTTCTTTTGGTGTTGGGCTTTTAAAGGTGGCTGCATTTCAGAAAATATTTCACAGTTATTTTGACTTTTTTCACAGATTTTCCTAGAAGGATTGTGATCTTGGGTAAGACGGGAGCTGGTAAAAGTAGTCTTGCCAACACCTTATTCGGAAAGACCGTTTGTACCACCAACAATAGTCCTGAATCTGGAACTAGTGTATGTCAAAAAGTGGTGGGACGTGTTAATGGGAAACAAATAGTCTTTGTTGACACTCCTGGATTCTATGACACGAGGCGGCCAGAGGAGGAGATGAAGGCTGAGGTGGTGAGGTGCATCACAGAATGTGCTCCCGGTCCTCATGTTTTTCTCATTGTGCTCAGAGTAGATAAATTCACAGAACAGGAGAAGGCAATCGTAAGAACACTGAATGATCACTTCTCAGAGGAAGTTTTGAAATATGGCACAGTGGTCTTTACTCACGGTGACCAGCTGGATGAAAGAATAAAGATCGAGGAGTTTGTTGATCAAAGTAAAGAGCTGAGGGCCTTGATCAGGAGATGTGGTGGCCGGTGCAACGTTTTTGATAATAAATACTGGAAGAACAACCAGGGGGATGAATACAGGAGCAATAAGTTCCAGATTGAGAAGCTTCTGGATACAATCGACAAGATTATTGAGGAAAACAAAGGAAAATCCTACACAAATGAATTGCTTCAAACAGTGGAGCAAAAAATCCAAGAGGCAGAGTGCATTCAGGAGTCCACTGCGAACCTGTCACCAGAAGAAAGAGAAGAGCTGGCCAAGGCTAAGGTCCGCGACACACTGTCACATTTAGCTGTCAGAGTAACGACAAGGGATCTGCTCAAAGTGTTTCTTAGTGGGGCGATGAAGTCACTGAGTAAAGAAGACCCCATTCTGGGATTTGGGCTGGAAATAACAGCGGCTTTAGCTGGAACAGCGATGAAGCCAAGCAGCAGAACCACCAGCACCACCAGCGATGGCAACGGTGTGGACTAAGATGGTTCACCAGAAATCTGAGACGTTCTAAAATAAAATCTGTATACCGTCCTATTAATTAATTGGAAATTAATGCAAACAAAATCTAAGGATAACTAGGAACAATTACAACTTTGAACCATGCAATACATGTGTTCTAATGATGATAGAATGGTTTCAGTTAATACTTTAAATGATTGTTTTTTTGTCTATGATAAATGCAATATGTGAAGGACGTGTTTGGCCTGAAGGTTTTTAGTTGAAAGCTTTAAATCTCTGTTTAATTCTTTATGTATGACACATATTTACTCACGATGATTTGTTGTTTGATTTTGGGGAAGCTCGAAGTGTATATTAAACCTAAGAATAATTTTCCATATAATTGAATTTTTTCATTACTTTTTCTGTCAAAGAGTGAACAATAAATCAATTTGTTCAAACCTTTGATTCCTTCAAAACTACCGAGGGTTTGCATTGAATACCTTTGCACATGGTGTGAGAAAAGAGACACCACCGACAGGAACAGCTGAAATGAGAAGCTAGTTTGGTGAGAAGTTACATACAGCTGTAATGAAGACGAGCTGCAATCCACACTATCTACTAAGCTAGTCAAATTCACTATGACCCAACAGGAACACAATCATGTCAAATGAATTAAATTGCACTTTGGACTGCTTCATTCAGAGCCAAAAAAACATAAATTATTCATCTTCAAGAAAACTGGCAAAGATATTCCTTGTATTTCTTTGTTTTACACACAAATACATGCGGACATAAATACGTTAAGAAGGAGTTAGGATTCTCATAACATCTACACAACAAAAACAATCTGACGAAAATACATCCAGAGTGAACAACAGTGTTCGTTCAAAACAGTTGAAATGTAAGAAGGAAAATGGGTATGAAGGAAACTCCCTGCTCCATCCAGCACGACTGGTTCATCATACCTGACCCATGAATGTGTTTTATATTTAGATAAGTTGAATAGGGAAATCTCTTGAAACTTCCAACACCTTAACACACCCTATCATCCTGTTGTTTTAGCTTTAAATCCATTCAACCTGCACCTTAATGTCAAGTTTTTTTTATACCAGCAAACGGCCAGCAAACTCTTTCGCTAAACCCAAGATGCTGGAAGACGTGCAGAGCTGACTTGGCTTTGTCTTGCTGTAATGAGGGGGGGTCACGTCAAAGTCCATGTGCAAAACATAGCAGTGTTTCTGTGGGTTGGTAATATTTGCCTTTGCTTTGCATCTTTTGATGATATCATGGACAGTGGATTACCCAAATCCTTTTTTAATTGTGCAGTACACTGAGACTTTTGGGGATGCTGCTTTCACACAGAGCTATTCATCTGTTTTTAATCAACCCGTTCCCTTTTGGAATGAGTAAAGGTGTTTTTAGAGCATTCTTTCTGTCTTTGCATTAAACTAAATTTGATGGATATGAGATATGAAAAAAAAGATTAACTCGATTAGTTTGAAATATAAAGATACTGTCTGTGTGGGGTAAAGCGTATAGAATAGATAAAAAATTATTTGCAAATGCTTTTTAAAACATTGTCACAATGAAGCTACAATGTAAATTAGATCTGAAACATAGCAATATCTCTATATCTTTTTGATCATGTATCTCTTAAAAAATGACTTATTTCACAGCAGCAGTTGTAAAACAAATGGTTTAAAGTTGTTGTGCCCAGTATGCCGATCATTCTGTCAGCTCTCCAAAAAACAAGTCAGACAGGAAGAGGAACAACAAAGCTAGGAGCAAGTTCGAGCCAGAGCATGAGGGAAGGACTCACAGTTGAGAACTCTTGTTTCTCTGGCAGCATGGATGGTAAGTTAAATGATTTCTTCTGGTCTTACTTAATTACAAATGACACAGAATTAGGATGTTTTGGCATTTAAAAATGAAAGTTGCTTGAAAGGCTGAAGGTGTCATTCTGTTTACTGTGATTAAAAGCACATAATCAAAAGGCTAGATTTGTAATTTCTTATCATTTATTGATCACATCTTTTTTAATAATCATGCCCTTTTTGTTATCATTGACTTACAATGATAAAAAAAAGTATATATATTGACAAGTGCTTTTTAGGAAATGGGTATATAATTTGAATTTGGTAATGAGCTTTGATGGTGTGACAAAAATAATTGAAAACCTCTGAAAAAGATTTTTCAAGATATGTTAGTTGATAGTAATTGTCCACTGTCTCACATCCTTATTAATCAATTAATTGTCACTGGATGCATGAAATCAGAAAATTCTGACTTCATGCATCAACAACATCATGTGCTTGTAAAACCTCTTCGTCTTTGTTACAGTGACTCATTTTTCATGTTGAATCAGTCATAACGTTTTATGATGGATGCAACCAAAAAGAAATGGTAATCCAACAAACACAATAAAGTCCCTGATATGCAATCAATATTTTTCTCATTTTCTGTCACTTTTAGAGCCGGACACATTAAGAGTTGTCCTGCTCGGAGGATCTGGGAATGGGAAGAGCAGCCTGGCTAATGTCATATTTGGGGAGACCACATTCAAAGTGAAGCGTTTTAATGATGCGGACAGATGTGTTACTCATGCTGAAAGCAGGCGTGTCAATGGCAGGAACCTCACTTTGATTGACACCCCTGGTGTCTTCGGTCCCGGCAGCTCTGAGAAGGACGTGAAGCTTGAAATCCTGAGGTGCATCATAGAGTGCGCCCCCGGGCCTCACGCCTTTCTGATTGTGCTCAAAATGGAGAAATTCACAGAGCAAGAGCAGTCAGTTATCTCTGAGATGTGTCAGTGCTTCTCAGAGGACTTTCTGAAGCATGCAGTTGTGGTCTTCACTCACGGTGACCAGCTGCCCGAAGAGATGAAAATACAAGAGTATGTAGTTCAGAGTGCCAGTCTGAATGATTTGGTGGAGAAGTGTGGAGGCCGGTGCCACGTCTTCGACAGCAAATACTGGAAGGACAACCAGGAGGATGACTACAGGAGCAACCAGTTCCAGGGGACGGAGCTGCTCAGGACCATCCACAGGCTGGTGGAGGAAAACTCTGGAGGATACTTCACCAATCCAATGATCTTAGACGTGGGAAAAAAAATTCAGAAAGAGGAAGAGCTCATAAAGAAGTTGTCAAAAGACAAGTCGCCGGAAGAAATCAGAAAGCAGGCCAAAAGCAACATCATGAGGAGGGAGGTGGAGGGGGAGGCAGGCTCATGGAAAACGGGGTTCGTGGTTTTGGTAGTCACAGGATTGTTTGTAACTGTGTCAGCCATATTGCTGAAACGTAGATTTGAAGAACCGGCTAAAGTACTTCTGACTGAATTAGCAGAGACTGGGCCTGAACTTGTAAAAGAAATGGTGGAGACAGCAGTGACGATAGAAGAGGTTCAGACAGCTGAAGTAGCTTCACAAACCCAGGAGAATGTAACCCGCTGGGTCCTTTCTTTGTTTAAAAAGATGTATAACCCTTTCAATCCGTTTGAATAAAACATTATCATCATTGCGTGGTCCCTCTTTGTGGGCTTAAGCTTTAAAAAGGTGTTTGTTACATCCCACTTGTACAAAATTGTGTTTTTCGACTGTCTGATTTGAAATTTGCTGCCTTTTTTTCCAATTGTTTGCTGTTAATTGGAGCAACAGTACTCATTTTACACATTTTTGACAAGTGGAGCAGCGTTGATTTGTGATATGTCCTCTTCAGCTGGAAATAAATTCATTTGTTGAACATTTATTTTTGTTTTTCACTTTTTACTTCTCGCTGTTTGTGTATTCTGTATTGCAAAAAAACAAACAAACAAACAAATTGTCTGCACAAATCGTTTACATTCTGGCTGTTTGGGTTCCTGGGGTCCCCCTGAATATTTGCTTTTTGTATGTTTCCACTTACCCAGAATTATTCCTGTAATTTCGACACATTTATATAACATAAAGTTTAATTGGCATTACTCAAATCACAGAAGAACATCGTTTAACAATCACAGACAAACATTGCAATTGCATTTGCAATGAAAATGATCTGCCATGTTTAACCCAAAAATGACTGAATCCTTCTATAAACTGGCTCTTCATAGTTCAGACAAAACACTTTTCTTCTCATCGAAATGCTGTTTGCTTCTAATCTGACATAGCCTGTTTGACGTCTGCTATTGTTTGTATCGCATCTTTATTTTAGTAACCAGCAGGATGAATATGTAGCAAGATATTAAGCACATTGAACACAAGGTGCCTGTATAAGGAGGCTGTTTTGGAGTCACTGGAGATGAACCATGCATTCTGCGGTATAACTGTCTGTTTCCACACACAGGCCTCATTTGCCTATATTGAGTTATTTCTTTGTGAATATTTTGCAGCAGTAAACATACACAGAAAGGCTCAATGTCATTATTTGAAGAAAGTAGCGACAAACAACTTACTCATAGTCACACATACTGACTCAAGTGTTCACGAAAACAACTCTTACATGTGTAGCTGTTTGCGTTGCTGTGCAACAAGCATATTTCCATTATTTTCTTAAAGCTTGTTGTTGAACACCTTAAACCCAGAGCTACTTTCGTTTCTTTGTTTCACTGTCAGTTGTTCGGTTAAATTATTTCCCAGAAGAGGAGTGCCTTTTGTGCCGGCAAAAGAAAACAATGTACTTCCTTTAAAGTAGTTCTATGAGAAATAAGCCGCACCCTGAGAAGGCATTAATGGGTACAGCAACATGTATCTTCATCATATTTCTATTATTATGGATGAGAGTGTGGAATATTAAAAATAGAAGCCTAATACTGCAGAATGAATGAATGTTCAGATCCCCAGAAACCTTTGACCATGTTTTAGAGAGAACAAACGTCACATACCCCCATCATAATCCTGGATTCTTTAATTTAATTGATGGATATATTTTATGATTCATGTTAGAATCTGATTGAGAGCTTTGATTGACCCTTAATGTGGAAGCGTCATTCACTTACCCTGAGACTTGGGTTTCTTCTGAACTTCTAAATAGAGAAAAATAACCCATCGTATCTTTCCGATTCTTCCTTTTGGCCTTTATAAAATAAGTGGAAAAATGTCTCTTTACTTAATTTTGTATTTATCCTAAATACTGTGTAGTATTCTGTTCCGTTTACTCTCTTGCCTCCACAAAAAAAAAACGTAAAAGAAAGAAATACAGGCAAGAAAAAACAATGACTTACTTTTTTCTATATCAGAAATAGTTGTCAAGTTATATTTACATGACGTTGTATTTAAATAGGTTTACATCTGTTTCATTAGACAAATGTAGAATTATTAGTTAAAAGCAATGAAATTACATAACATTTATAAGTATCTTTAGTCAAAGTATTTACAATTTACAGATCCCTGTCTTTTAAATAACCAACAGGTCAAACTGGTTTCGAAAATGAAAGTTTGATCAAACTGCGACAAAGCCTGAGTAAGACAGCACAGCCAGGACGCCGGGCGACAGGTCATTCCGCCTCCTAAACAACAGCTGGACACTGCTGGGTAACCTCTGTGATTTCATGTTAGCAACATGGAAGGTGAGTTCAGTTGAATTCATATCTGTGTCCATTCTCACTAACTGCAATACTGTACTTTGACTAATTGAAGTGTGCAGTTCACCACAACAAGCTGACAAAAATTATCTTCATCATCACACTGTTAAGTAAAAGTGAAAAGGAGGGCATGACTCAGAATGATCTATTGATTATATAAATGTCAGAAACGTGATAAAAATAAATGTGCTACCATCTGTACTGCCATCGCAGTTTTCTCATGCTCCTAGTTTTCTTTTTCATTTCCCTGTATTTTTATTGCTATCTTTTAGAATCAAGCTTTTTAGTTTCTAACACCTGAATTGCAAACACAAAAAAAAAACTCTATTACCCCGAAACAGTAATGTTTAATGTCTGCTTTGAAGTTTTAGTTGATTATATCATAACTTTATTAATCCTAATCACTGACCTCAGAAATAACTTTTGCACTATCTGTCATGAATTTACAGCTTTTACTCAATAAATAATTTATTTTAAACCAACAATCTTTTCGACTTAAAGCAAGTAAAAATGAATATCTGCACATGTTTTGTCTTGTAGAGTTGCCCAAGAGAATTGTTCTGTTGGGGAAAACTGGAGCTGGGAAAAGCAGCCTGGTGAACACCATCGTAGGGGAAGATGTATTCAAGATAAGTCACTCTCCAGTTTCTGAAACAACTCTGACTCAAGCAGTAACCCGGAGGGTCAGTGGAAAAAACCTGACCCTGATAGACACCCACAGTCTTTTTGACACGTCTGGGTGCGAGCGCTCGCTTCGGGCTGAGATCGTCCGGTGCATCACAGAGTGCGCTCCGGGGCCTCACGCTTTTCTCATTGTGCTGAAGGTGGAGAAATTCACCCAGCAAGAGAAAGACGTCGTCAGGAAAATCTGTCAGTATTTCTCCCATGAGGCTCTGAAATACGCTGCAGTGGTGTTTACGCACGGAGACCAGCTGGAGGGAGCGAGGATCGAAGAATTTGTCAGTTTGAACAAAGAGCTGAAGGATCTGGTGGAGAAATGTGGAGGCAGATGCCACGTTTTTGATAATAAGTACTGGAAGATTGACAGAGACGACTACGGGAGCAATCGGCGTCATGTGGAAGAGCTGCTCTGTACCATAAAGAAGATAAGTGAGGCCAACGGTGGGCAGTGTTACACCAATGAGATGCTGGAAGAGGTGAAGAAAGAAATCCAGAAGCAGGAAGAAGACATGAGGCAGACCCCAGGAACGGTATCGGATCAGGAGATCCGAAACGTGGCTAAAAACAATTTGTTTAAGAAGCTGATGGCGAGGTTCATGGGTGCTGCCGCTGGTGCCGTGTTAGCAGCCTTTCTCGGTGTGGTGGAGATTATTCCAGCCAAAATGACAAATGTTCCAAGGGCTGCGGCTCAGGCCTCAGCCCCTAATATTGGGACCGAAATTGTATCTGCCGCTGCAAACAGGGTTTTTGCAGGAGCCATGATGGGGTACAATGCAGCTGAGGAAGAAGAATCTGTATTTGGTGCCTTGCAGGGCGCCACAAAAGAAGTTTGGAACAACTTCAAGTCAAAATTAGGCTTTGGGGTTGCAGAGGAGGAGAGCAACAAAGACCATGTGAATAAATAGATTAAACGAAACAGTGAGAACACTCATGTTTCAATCAGGGTGGTCATTATCTAATCCTGAACTCTGCCCAGAGGTAACCCGTGACCATACATTTTATACTATACACCTTTAACAGGGTTTTAAAGACTGAATGGTCCAGTCAAAGGTTCCTTTTCTTTATACATTTTAGCTTGTCATCCACAATTTTCATCTGACTGCAATCTTCAGCATTAATAACAAAAGCTGTCAAACCAATAATTTAATGTTCATGTATAATGTTAGTTGGACTTTACTTTTTAATAGTATCTTTTACAATGACTAAAAAGTGTCAGACTGGTTTCTGGTGTTCGCTTCATTTGAGAGGAAATAATGTCTGAACTTACAGTAGGACTTTAAACTTTAAAAACCTTTGTTTGTGATTGATTATGTTTTTGTCTCTGTTTTTGTCTCAAAAAGTTAATGAAAAACATGATTCAATTTTAGGGTATTGTGTTTGTATTGTGAATCACTGTGATACAAAGTATAGCTTCAATTTAGGTAAATATCTCCTCCATAAAAAATTTAAAAAAACAAAACGATTAATGAATTATTTCTGCGGTAGAAAATCAGGAATTTTCCATGTGGGAAAATAAAAAAAGATCTCTATGAATGTATCAAGTTGAACTTTTTTCAGTGCAAAAACACACTACATGGATGAGGCGCTGGTGTGAGGGGAGGTGAAGCTTTTCACCCAAACAGCTGTTTGCAGAGGCAGGAAACTATGAGGTTTTAGTCTCAGGAGCCCTCATAAGCAGCACTACAGCATGCCCCAGTGGCGTGATACGAGACTAGAGCAGTTACCTGATGCTAGACTGCTGTTAAATGGTTACACACTGCACTCATTTAAGATTTCCAATCCGTCTCCAACTAGGACATTCACTTGAGCTTATAACTTCCATAGCTTCACTACTCAGTTTCTCCCTCTGGGTGATAAAGCTTATTTTTTCTCTTATTTTAAGACACACAGGTAATACGTCTGTTGAACCCAAGTGAGAGCTTTAAACTGCAGATCAGAATATTTTGGTCCCACTGGGTGATTCTGTTAAGAGGCGTTGGTTTCAGCTTTATTAGCATATCTGAATACTATTCACTAAATCATTTCAGTCATGATGTTTTTTTTTCCGACTCTGAAAAGGTCGCTTATTAAAAAGTAACTTTTTGAGGGTTATGAATCCAAAAGCTTCAAACTCATAATTAAAATGCCAACATTGTTTTAATGGGATTTGAAACCTCATGCTGTCCTATTTTAAATCTCTTTAAGCAATTGTTTTGAACTGATATGTTGCCGGAAACAACACAAAATGACTTAAGATGACTGTTAGATGATGATCATCAAATCAAAGGGTGTTGAACTCCAGTCCTGGAGAACCAGACCTTCATAAACCAATGGGGCCTACGCTCCTATTGACCAGAGAGTCCCAGGGATTTAAAATATATATAAATACATTCTTTAGAATTGGAGCTATGGTTCATTTGTCCAGGCATGCAAACGGAAGATTTCATTTCTAATTCTGATCACTGTCTGGGTTTTCCTCGTGAAAAACAGGGTTACATAACCCGGGTAGGTGCGGCTCCAGGAGCGCGTCCCTCCTCCAGTCCCAGCTCAGCGCGGCCCGGGTCGGACGCAGTTCCTCCGCACAGATCAGAGCAGTTTCACTTCCCCTCCTTTGCGTACGGACGATGGACGACGGGTGTCAGTACCCCGTTTTCTTCAAGTGGCAGAAGCCCTTCGGAGAGCAGAGGGTGAAGAAAGTGGAAGCATATTTCCGCATTCGGCGCAAATCCGGCGGAGGGGAATGCGGTCCGCTGATCTGTGGAGCGGAAAACATCTACTGTATAAAGTTCAGATATGAAAAAGGTAGGGTCACTTATCAGCTCATGTTTGGCTGATGTTGTAATCAGTTGTTTCTGTTTGTTTTGGTTGTATTATTGCTCTCTGACGTGGCATGTAGCGTTCACTGTCCTCTGTCCTGTTTGCTTCGAGTTAAGAGTTAGATTATTCTAATAGTATATTTCTCTACAACCACCAAATAGAGCAGCTAATTGGTTATTATTTAGTCACATAAAAATCGAGTAAGAATAATAAAGCAGGTCATAGACTGATAAGAAGGCCCATAAAGGTCTTAAGAGGAAAATGAAACTTAACTCGAGCCGGAAAAAAACAAAAACGCCTCCTGTTGTGTTGTGTCAGCTCAGTCCTTTTCAAAAATACATTTGATACATACATTTTCATCCATATAACGTCCTGAAGGGGCATGGATCATTCTTCTATACTTTTCTCCTTTTGCTGGCAATAAGAAAATGGTTTTAAAGAGAAGGGATGACTTCTAAACCTGTTTCCTTCTCTCAGCCAATCGTCATTTTCTATTTGATTAGTCTTTGTTTTTTTACTTAAGTAATTTTCAATCATTGTGTTTTTGTTTGCATTACCATTCTCCATGTATTCCCCAACCACTAGGTATCTGTTTTGACAACCTTTCCTCATTTGCATACATGAATAAAAAACAGAGGTGGGGAATTTGAACAGAAAACGCACAAGAGGAAAGGAATTTGGGACTAAAAAGTATATTAAAAAATCCAAGCAATAATGAATATGAAAAAGTTAAACTTGAAATCAGAAATCATAAACTCCGAAAGAAAGATACATGTAATTAAAGAATTAAGAACATATACCTGTTAATTTCACATCCTGCACATTAGTTACTGCTTAAAGTTCTTTTTTGCCAAATTTATTTAATTCTAGCAACATTTATTGGGTCAATTATTTAGTCACCCTGTCATTGATTAAAAATGGAACCAGTTTGGTCCGTGTGACTCATACGGGAAGAGCGTTTGAACAGAGGTATTTCTTTGAGGCATTAAATAATAATCTGTGAGTCAACGTAAACATGTTTTAATGTTCAGATGGACAACTGGATCTACTCCTGAACAGTTATATAGCGTCAAAGGGCTGTCGGCCCACACCAGACGAGCTAATTGTCACACATGGACACTTTCAGGATTTTTCCCCATATTTGCAAATGAAAAACTGAACCCAGCAGCTTATTATTGACTGTTTTTTTCTGTTTTAAAGCAGTCATGGTGTTTATAAGTTTCGCTAATTTTTGCTTACACAGAACAACACTGTCACATATAAAAAGAAGAAGCACAACACACAGAAAAACACTGTTATAAAGAAATTACTTGAGGTGGTAAACTGTTTGTGGGTGGTTGCTGCCTTCCTACAGATGCCATCAGTTCAAATCTGAATACCATCTTGGGAGCTTTGAAAACCTAAGATTAACATTGAGAGCCTCCTCAGAATTTTTTGTGGCCTCTGCTGTTTGTTGTGACCTGATGGCATATGTGCAAAAACTGGTTTGTATTGTGGGAGCAGGGAGTTACCCGTATCTTGAACAACAACCATTTTGTGTTGGGTTTCTGTCCTCTGCACAGGTGTGGTGTATAGTGCGACATGAGGATACAACAGTATGGTTTAAGGGACGTTTAATCCTCAAAATGACACATTCTGTTTAAGATCAGCAGGAGGTTCTGAGGAGAGCACAGCATGCAGTTGATGGTGATCTCGTGCTCACTGTGTGGAACAGCCCGGAAGCTCTAGCCTCCTCTGACCCCATCACCTCCACCGCTGCAGCAGAGGTCAGCTCAATGCCTTTTTCCTCCCAGGTACTCTGATTTGACACGTATCAGCCACTGAGAATAATAAACTTTTACGACTTTGTCTTTTTTATGCAGAACCCTCAGTCCCTTCCTGCCACTCCTGCTCCGTTAAGCGGTGAAGATTGTGGCTTACAATCTAAGGATCAGCCATCTGATCCCCAGGAAGAGGGTACTGCTTCTGAGGAAGAACTGGAGATAGAACCGGGCCCCGAAAGCCGCCCCGCTCAGCTTCCCCCAGGTGAGGAGAGGGTTTCTGTCTTGGCCCCAGCTCAACCTGATGCTGTTAGTGGCAGTAGAGACATTGAAGCAGAGAGCGATACCCTATCCCAGTACCATCCTGAGGGTAGTCCAGATCAGAGCCCGGAGTGGCCTGATGCCGGGGATGGGTCACCTTTAAGCCAGGCTTTGCCGCCTTTGAGTTTCGCTGAAGAAAGTGCGCTGGTAGACAGCTACGGCCTCTGTGATGGGCTGGAGGTGCTGCTGTGTCAGGGGGACATCACCCAGCTGGAGGTCGATGCTCTGGTGAGCGCTGCCGGGGAGGATTTGGATTACCGCGAGGGGACCGCTGCCGCCCTGGTCCGGGCAGGCGGCCCTGCGGTACAGTTTGAAATCGACGCTTTGAGAAAGCACAATGGGAGAATTCCCACGGGTGAAGTGGTGGTGACCACGGGGGGGAATCTGACATGCAAGAGGCTGCTGCATGCCGTGGGACCTGTGGGTGGAGAGGCGGGCGGCAGAGCCAAGGTCCTGTTGGAGAGAACTGTCCGGCGAGCTCTGGATTCAGCAGAGCTGTCTGGGTTCAGCTCCATCGCCCTGCCGTGCATCTGCTCGGGGGCGTTTGGTTTCGCATTCTGTTCTGAAGCTGTCGTAGCAGCCGTCAAAGAGTTCGGCAGCCAGAGCAGTCGCAGTCTGAGAAGAATCGTACTCATAGACGACCGGAGGGAGGTGATCAAGGCCATGCGGGAGGCGTGTGACAGGACACTCCAGGGGAGAGGTACCGGAAACGCCACAGAGAGCAACGGAGGGCAGCAGCTGGATGCTGCTGGCCAGGATGCAGAGAGAGGAGCTCCTGGTGGAGCTCCTGGTGGTAGCGTCTATGTAGAGGTCGTTTTTGGGTCCATTGAGAGCCAGCAGGTGAGAAGGCTTTTTTTTTTTTTAAACCTTACAATCTGACTTGAAATCGTCAGATGAATCAGTTAGCAATCTGCTGTGCGCTGAGCATGTCATGCCCCATTGTACCCTCAGGTTGATGCCCTCGTGTCCCCCATGGTTCACCACAACCCTCTCTCAACCCGAATTGGAAACACTTTGAACACAATGGTCGGTCCTGAGATGACGTCTAAGTTTGAAGAAGAGGGAGAAGATGAGACGATACCCAGCGACTCAGTACTAGTTGAGGGGTTGCTTGGACTTCCGTTCAGTGCAGTGTTCTTCCTCAACCTTTCGCCCTGGAATGATGACGAAGACGGAGTGCCAGTCTCGGTAAAATTGTGGATTTTTTTTCTCAGGGTTTTCGTTGCGTGGTAGCACTTTCTGTGAGACAGGATTTCATAATGTGTCATGTTGCTGACAGAACATTGGATGTTTATACTTAACAGGTTCTCAGAGTGGGCATAAACAAAATCCTGACTTCCTGTGATCAGAGAGGGTTTGGATCTGTTGCCTTTCCTTTGCTAGGGGCTGGACTAGCCCTGCGTTTTCCTGACACGGTGGTGGCCAGAGTGCTGCTGGAGGAAGTTTCTGGATTTGAACAGGACAGAGCCAGCAGCTCGCCGCTTCTGGTTCGAATTGTCATACACCCCGGTGACGACGAGGCTTTTGAGGTGAGGGAAGGGAATAATTGGTTTCATCATACAGTTCGAAGTAGAGCATCAGTAAAGTATGGTAATGCAGGATTGAAGCAGGTAAGGCAGAAAAAAGACTTGTTTGAATAGTACACAGTTGTGGGTGTACTGCAAGTCTTTCCAAATTTCACCTTCAGAGCTGTATCTTTAAAATAACACCTCGGTTAAGAACAAACAACACATGCCTTTAAGTCCAATATACGATTAAGTAGATAATCTTCGGGGTTACAGCGAACATCGGTTTATGGTTTTGTTTCCATCAGATTACTGGCCCCTGGGACCTACAATAAGCCTGTTTACATTCTTGTCTGTACAGGTCTTCACATCTTCTCAGAAAACTTTGAACTGCACAGAAGAACACAAACAGCAACAAGATCAAGAAAATGGTGGGTGTTGCTTTAAAGTACTTATTCAGAATCAATTCCATTTTCAGCCAGTTGTCATGTTTCCATTCTTGTATTTTTTATTTGTGCTTAGATGACAGGAATAACAGATGATTGAAAGAAGTCAAGTTAAGATGACTTCTACTGATCTACAGCCACAGGGAGCATAGCTTTCACTTTCAATTTCCACTTTAGTTTTAGTTTTATTCACAAGAAAATCCTCGCACATGTTAATTTCATTCTTTTTGTTTTATTTGGTATAAAAACAGTTTATTGTAAGTTAGTTTAAACAACTTTATTCAGTTGATATTGTTTAATCAAAATCAGAGAACAAACTCATGTATTTATCAGAGTCATTCTTCTCCTCCACTGTCAGATACAAAGAGGGTCATTCTGGTGGGAAAAACTGGATCTGGGAAAAGCAGCCTGGCAAACATCATCTTTGAGGAGGAACTTTTTGCCACAAACCATACTCCCAACTCTGGGACCAGGACATGCCAGTTGGAGACCAAGTGCATTAATGAAAGGAGCATCACTTTGATTGACACCCCTGGTTTTTTTGACAGCGGGAGGTCGGAGGATGAGATGAAGGCTGAGATCATGAGCTGCATCACAGAGTGTGCGCCGGGGCCTCACGCTTTTCTCATTGTCCTTCGGGTTGACAAATACTCAAAGCAGGAGCAAGAGGTGGTGAACAAAGTGCAGGAATATTTCTCAGACGCTGCGCTACAGTACGCCGTGATTGTCTTCACTCATGGTGACCAGCTGCCCAAAGGGGTGAAAATCGAGGAGTTTGTCAGTCAGAATGACAACCTGAGCAGCCTGGTGAAGAGGTGCGGCGGCCGGTGTCACGTCTTCGATAATAAATACTGGCAAAACACACAGCAGAATAACTACAGGAGCAACCAGTTCCAGCTGGAGGCCTTGCTCCAAACAGTAGACGAGATGGTGGCAGCAAGGAGCGGACAGTATTACACCAATGAGGTTCTGCAGAGTGTGGAGAAAAGAATACAGATTCATGAGCAGCACATAAGGCAGTCATCGGCAGACTTGACTGCACTGGAGGTCAGAAAACAGGCCAGAGCCTCTGTGTTGAATGAGTTTTTGGTCGTCCTGGCAGGTGTGGCGACTGGGGCTTTGCTGGGGGCTTTTTTTGGCCTTGTTGAGCATGTTAAAAGAGCTGTGAAGAGTCCAGGAGAGAAAAGAATCCCACTGCTAGCCTCTGGGTCGTCAGCGGTTGCAGCTTTTGTAGGAGGAGAGGTGGCGCTAGCTGCCAGCTTGGTCCCTATGGCTGCCATGGCTGCACGTGAAGGAGTGAAAGGCGGCATGACTGGACACAACGCAGCCAAGGGAGCGAAATCGCCAATGGAGGCAGCAAAGAATGCGGCAGTTGCTGTCATGAACCAAAACAAAGAAGAAAAAAAAGTGCTTTCCCCATTCACTTAAATCTTATCTTGTGCCTTTGAGTCCTATGAGGGGAACACCAGTGGAGGTCTGCAGCAATGCATCCTGGACAATCCAAATCTGCGTCTCCTGCAAGCTGGCAGAACTCTGATGAAATGAATGTACAAAGAACTCTGTTCTCCGGATGGGGGAGTTTGTTTTGCACCACCAGAGCTCCCATTACCTAGATCAGCAAATGTTGGTTCAGAAAAACACTAATAATGATCTCATTTTGACCTGTTAACCAAGCAATGTTGCACAGGACACTTGAAGGAATCCATCTTCAAACATATCAGGTTATCTTAAGGGGTATTTTATGAATATTGGGGAAACTGCACTTGATTTGGTTTGATGGTTTGATGGATAACTAGTTTACCTTCTTTTTCTCACAACAGTATAAGAATGGGAATAAAGTGCAATACCAAAGTTCTCAAACACTTAATTTAGATACATTTTTTTTAAATAATGTGGGTTCATTTTCAGGACAAGAACTTGTCTATTTGATGGTGTTAAAGATTTACAAAATCAAGCTCACTCTGCATCTCTTTTTTAAAACTAAATTTGACCCATAGTAGGACAAGTTTACCTATTTCTGTCTCATACTTAACTTTGCATTGTGTGCTTGATGCACGTTGTGTTAATTTTTTCTGATGGACCTTTTAAGTTTGTGGAAATTGAATAAAAAATATTCAACTACTCATTGTTCGTGTTAAATACATATATTTTGAAATACAATCAGAAACCAACACAAACATGAACACCAGAGAGCATATCTGCCCAAAAATTCAAGTAGGAGGTTTATGTTATTTCTGTCTCACGAACACAACCTCAAATGGTACAACTAAACTTTTAGATTAATCAAACAAGAAATTATATCTTAGTAATATTTAAATTCCACCTTAACTCAATGTGCTGAGATGCAATAATCAAATATAATTCTAACTCTTCACTTACTGTATATCGGTATATCGATTTTATGGTGCTCAAACACAACGTAAAGAATCCAGCAAGTACACAACATTAGAATGGCACGCACGTTAAGGTAACTACAAGAACAGCACCAACTTAAGTCTGAATTAGGCAGAGACTTCAGCCCCACATCATAACAGTATGAAGGCAGGTTTTTGTTCCAAATGGACATATACCAGCAAATCCGCAGTATCAGCAAGTCAAAACAATCCAGGGATAGTTAAAAATCTAAATCTTTACAGCGTCTCATTTGCAACTGTAGTAATAGACTTTGTCGGTGGCTGGGTGGATAGGTTGGTGGTTTTATAACCCTTTTCACCAGCATTCACATTCAACTGTTGACGACCCTTACTACTTGAACGTGTGTCTAAACACTATCTGACATCTATCTAACACTATCTTACGTCTGTCTAACATCTATTATGAATGTGTACAACAAGGACCAATCAGCTATGATTTACAGCCTTAACTTCAGGTGATACTCCCGTCTTTCTGGCGCACTTGAGAGGTCACTGCTAAGCAGTTTCCTCTCAGCCCTGCCCAAAGTTAATCAGTCACTTAACGTGTCCTGTTATTCAGCACACAAGCCACTCTCTTGTGTGCTGGTGACTAATAGTGCTGTTTCCATCTTCTCTGATAGGACCATGGAGACTAATTTAAACTAAAAAGAGCTCAATTTTCATGGCTGTGCTAGCTACATAACTTATTTAACTTATTGAAATGGACTGAAAGCAACAGCAGCAAGTGATCTACACACACATGTGTCTTTGGCCAAAAGAATAATATTCCAGCAGAGGGATGTGGAGCCAAAGGAGCTGCATGTTGAAAACTGACCCCTGGAGCGACCTCCAAGTCAAGACAAAGTCAGATGAAAGTATGACTGCAGGTGGATAAAAAATAGTCAGACTAAAAAGCCCTCATTGTGAAATATCAGTGAGCATGTAATGAGCAACACCTTTCCCCCGGCCATGTTTCTGAGAACATTCACTATCTGTGACTTAATCCAGCCGGAACAGAATCTGGTATTGGTATGTCAACTGTGGAGCTGAATTTCCACCGGCACAGATTATCAAACCTCTTTTTACCACTTGATGGCAGTAGAGACAATCGTTAATGGGGAGGTGTAGATCAGGGACATGCCTGTGAACAACTCTGAAGGAAATCTTCAGGTATTTGAGTTTTACCTCTCAGTGCCAGCAGAGCTTTGCAGACCTGACTTATTGATTGCGAGAGCTGCTTAATTTGCATTAGTGGATGCAGTGGGGTAAAGCAGAGGAGGAGGAACGAGGCTGACCCTCTGCCGCTACTGAATTCTGACTAACTCATCTATTCGACGCATGCACAGACACTGTTCAGACTTGTGACTGACGTCTGAATGTTGTTCAGTTTGTTCTCTCTTTGTGGTTTGATGGAGCAGAATTGTACAGAATCAAATCCCAGACTGTCATTAATTGTAGAAACAAACAGAGAAACCCATGTGCTTCTTTTCCATGAGCTCTCCTGTCTCTCCTGTTACTGTTCTCTGCAGATGTGGAGCCCTGTTTACATAATGTGCAGGCTTTATATTTTACTAACAATAATGGGACGCAATATGAGTGTTTGTTGGTTTCCTCGAACATTTCTGAATGCCCATGTCTGAGTGTCAAACATTTAAGTTGAAATGGCAGAAAAATACTCAACAAATTGGCTATTGAACAAAAAGGGTTTTATACATGGTGTATCCTTTAGATAGAAATCAATCTTTGAGTTAATCAAATAATCAAGTGACGTGCCATCCTGTGTCAGGAACTCAAAAGAGCTTTTTGAGTTAACAAATATGCAAAAACTTCAGTGAACTGAAGTAACGCTGCCATCGAGTGTACAAAAATCCCCTCCACAATGATGAAAGAGAACGATAGAGATAAAATCAAGTTGTAACTTCCAAGAATAGTGCTGCCTAATGGGATGCAAAACTTAATTTTTCTCTGATCTCAAATCGTTTGTATCTGGTTCTTAACCTCCATGTTCCTTCAGTGCTGTGACTGTCTGTGCCTCTCAGTTGAGGAATTGAATAGATTTAGCTCAAGAGACATGACTGGTCAGCAATGGACGACAGACAAAACGGCGAAGGAGTCCCCCGCCAAGCCTGCGTGCTGCACCAACAAAGTTTTTGCATAGCTGTGTTGTATATTCAGATCAGAACGGAACAATATCGGGGAGGCGGAAAGGCATGCTCATGCTCGATCTGCAACTAAGGCATTCGGCACTTTCCCAACGTCACAGTTGGAGTAATGTTCAAAGGATTGAAATGTTCCTGTTTTTTTATTGACCAATTGATTCTAATCCACAAAGTACAAACTGTGCTTCTATCTTTTCATCTGGACTCAATGATAGTATAGCTGACTATCCCTACTATTTTAAGTGTTAGAAAACATTTGTTAGGTGACCAAAGGATGAATTTTAGGAGTATAATACAGTCCAATGACATAACTCATTAACATTTTGTCATCTAGATAACATCTCATTTAAAATGAGACAAATGTGACATCCTTGAGGTCAAGCAAGTTGTTGTTTTGGATTTCACCTCATTCTACTTGTATTCCTGTTTTACAAATAATAAAGGCTGAGAGCTTTGTTATTCTTTTTGCTCGTTATTGAAGGTTGGTCACAGCTGACATGGAGAATAGAATAATTTTCTAATCATGAATGTGCAGGTTTTTTCCTACAAATGTTAAGAGAGAAATTCAAGTTAAATCGGTGTCCATTATCTCTTCTCGCAGTACGTGTGAAACCCTGGAAACATGCCCAGTCAGTAATCTATGCCTCTGTTGTTCGCACGAGTGGTTTTTCAAACACAGCTGCTGAATGATAAAATCAAACCAGTTTAACTGACAACAATCTCTAAACACAGAGTATAAAGTTGGTATTGATCCGTTAGAACCTGAGCGAGATGTTTGAAATATTGGATTGTTTCAGGTCACATGGTCAATTTTAATCAGCCGTAACACTTTAAGTGCTTGCTTGTGGTTTTTTGCACCACACTGGCAGCAGATCATTTGGACTCTAAAGATTGTGGGATGGGGGCTCTGTGCGTTGAGCTTGTTCTGACAAACCCCATGGAGGTTTGATAGGATAGGGATCAATGGCTGGAGTCTCGATCTAAAATCAAAGCCTTGGGCTGTCTGTTGTGTTCCGTAAGCCATTCCTACGCATTTATTTTGCTGGGAAGGTGGCTCCCCGTCTGGGATGGGAGTTGCTTTGTCTGCAACAATGTTTGCTGTCTGCAAGAGGAAGATGTGAAAGTTTGGGTGCTTTTCTATTAAACAACGCTGCAGCCGGTACTTTTTGCCCTTTAAGCTGCTGGTAACCTTAATTTCCTGAGGGAGTCTTCCCAAGGGATTAATAAAGTACCGTCTAAGTCTAAGTCTAAGTCTAATGAAGGCACTATTCCAGAATTCACACACCTCGATCAATAAAAAGAGATGCTGCAGACCTCTATGAAACTATAGAATGTTGTTGAGTCTGAGTCTGCATTATTAACTTATTTGCCATCTATCCAAGCACTACAGCTTATCTGGGACCAGGTCAAAGGGCGAATAGTCAGAGCATACATACCCAGACCTCTGTCTCCAAGTCATGTCCTAAAGCTTTTCCGAAGGGACAGAATTTTCAAAGCCAGCCGAGAGATATAATCTCTCCCGTGGACCCTGGGCCTGCTCTGAGGCATCCCACTGTTGTGGCACGTCCCTAAAGTCTACTCAATGATCCATCTGGAAGGTATTCTGACAAGATACCCAGTGGATGAACCTGCCCTGTCAAAAATAGGGGTACCCCAAGACACATATTTTTACTTTTAGAGGCCCTGAAAGTTGCATATATGTTCCTAGGTGGTAAATAGACAAACTACAACAGCTTTTAGTCTGAGCTTAATTCTCTTTTTATGACTACAGATATGATCAGTGCCACAACAGATTCTGATCCAATTTGCCTGCTCTCCAGTCACTTCTATTCTCATATGTAAACAAGACTTTGACAATGCATGAGTCCTCCCAGCTTTAAGTGGGCAATCTTTTTCTGCCCGAGGACCATGGCCAAAGGCTTTGAGGGCAAATTTGCATCTAGGCCATTTAAAATTCGCCTGCAAACTGCACGGTCCTTGCTGGAGGTCCCCTATCAATGAGAGCCTAAAACAGAGCTTCTTGAGTTTTAAATATGGAGAGAATATGAAGGGGGTGTTCTTGGGTAAATCTATGCAATTAATGAACTATTTAAAAGTAAGATATTGAATGTTCTGGGAAGTAGGACATTTAAATTAATTATTTATATCTTATTTGTTGCAAAAAAAAAGATCTTGACGACAGAGAAATAAAAGTCAAATTGGGCACAGATAGTGAGCACTGAGTACAGAGGTGGATGACCCTTTCCTTTTCCAGTTACAGTCATAGAATTTTTCTGAATTATGAAGTGCCAGCTCTTCCTAGTTAATACGTGCTGATAAACAACATGACCCCAGAGGGATGTGTAGGAATCTATCTTCAAGCAGGGATGAGTTACTTCGAATGACATCTCACGCGGGTGTGTAAACCGGTTGACCATCTCTCCATATTTGTCGTCACATTCAATTACATGCTTTCTAACTAATTTTTTTTTCATAGGCAGAATCTGTTTTGCGAAAAACATAATTTGAATTTCAAACATGATCTGAACGGTTGACTGCTGGAATTCATTGCTTGACATGTAGGAACGTTGTCAGGCTGTTAGAGCAGAGGCAGGCCAGGTAATGGGGACACACCTCTCTTTCAACATGTTACAGCAGGCATTACAAATAAATGGGAAGAGGCACAGAGAGCCGAGGGACAGTGTGGGTGGGAAGGAAAATGTGAGCAAAAGGGGAGGACGGTTCCAGATCTGCTGGGGATTCACACGTCTCATCAGGATCTCTGAGTCTCCTCTCCTGTGTGGTGATTTACTGTAGATGACCGGGTGAGTCTGCCTCATTTTCTTCATTCTGTCAGCAAGTGTGTCTTGCCTCCTGTCACTCAAAATGCAGCACCTTAAACAGGAAACGTGTCTCTAGAATTAGAGCTTTGGGGTTGATTTTGAAGCAGAAATCTAATTTTCAGGGCCTCTTATCCTCTCAGCATCACTGTTTGAAGTTATTTGCGTTCTGGCATTCTTGTCAGGTCTATCCGGCACCCGCGATTTGCTCCGTTTTAGATGTAGCTCGGTAACAAATCTGTGCATCTATGGCGTTCATTGTAGGTGGAAGTGGAACAGGTGGAATTTTGTTGGCAAGCCTTTGACTCACAGTACAAACAAACGCACCTCTTGAGTCAGTCAGGTTTTACAGTCTTTATGTTTGTTCAAAAGACTGTGGTAGAAAAAAAAAAATCTGAGTAGAAACCACAATACCAGCCAAAGAACAAGCAGACGTAGGGGAAGACATAATTTGACACATCAGCAACCTGCTTTTTTGTTTTTCATTGCTGGAGGATTGCACAACGAGGGCAGTTTTACTGTCTGCTGGTGGCTTTCCTGCGACTGCCAGTGTGGTTTGACCGGATTTCTGTACACACAGGCCATGTGGTCACATCTCTTTAGTCCTCCTCTTAAAAAACCCAAAAGTACTGCACTTGTGCCTCCCTTATGACGACAAGTAAAAACTGAAAAAAGAAACAGAAAAAGCAGAAAAAAACACAAAACATTTGATTGTTCTGTCTTTGAAATGAACTTCTCAAAACATTTATAACTTTTTATTTTAACAGAAAAACTATCAGTAGTTGTGATGATTCATTAAGACATCAACATCTCAATGGAAACACAAACAGTTTTTAAAATTCTGTTTAAACTTCTAGTTAATATTTGAACTAATGTTATAATGTTAGTTAATCATAATATTATTTTGACTCATATAAACTAATATTTTAGTTGGTATTTGGTATGGGCACTTTCACTCAGTCATTTGGAAGGACATTCAAAAGCTCTGCTTCTGAATCTGGCTGCTCCCCTCATATCTCTACCTTAAAAGAGGCTCCTTGACAAGGGCCGGAATAATATTTCATATCTTTGTTCTAATATTGTCTTATTACTTCATGACGTTATTCTTTTATCTGCCGTGTGACTGAGCCCTGCTTCATTTTCTTTTTTGGGACACACAGCACGATGTGCTGAAAGAATAGTCGCTACGTGTAGGCAACAGTGATTCATTCCTCAAAGCAGCCAGCATCCTAAAGAAAAAGTTAACAGACCCTAATAAAGTCTGAGAAACTATTGCTCTAGGCCACATTAAAAGGCCACATTGAAGTTGCATAAAGACATGGGGGGGTGACTCACGACTTTTTCATTGTGTCGTGACTATCTCAAAAGCTTTTAAATGGCATTCTGCAGTGGTTAGCGGTCATGTCACCCACCACTACAACCCATTACACCGTGAATTAGATGCGGGAGTCCATAATTACAGCACAGGTTGCTTTGAAAATCAAACAAGCAGGTTGAGCGAGACCTGGGTGTGAATCTTTGATTGCAGACTTAAGAGTACTGAGAGTACCCTTGTGGATGATGAATGACAGCAGTTGGAGGGTTGTGGCTTTATACGGTCCAAATATGTAGAACAAGTGATGACATGTCACTTTTTAAAAACATTTCAGTAGCATAAAATAGCTTCGGTGCGTGCAGAATGAAGCTGTTCCAGGTGCCCGGGAAAGATAAGGGAGCATCATGAGACGGCTGCTCTGCTAGTTTAGATATGCTGTGACATTTTCTTCATCCAAGTCCAAAACACACAACATCAGCATCGTGTTGCTCCATCTTGTTTGAAGAGTCAAGTTATTTTGGGTACTTTCTGATCCTAGGAAGAGACAAAACAAGTAAATCACATCAAAGTATGTTGCCCTCGTACAAAGCTGTATACAGATCCGAAAAAGACCAGCGACTGACACTCATCAGGTTTATTTCCAGCAATGGACCGAGAGTAAAAAATAGGGGAGGTGGTTAGAATACCATTTATGGTAGCAAAGAGTAATTGTGGAGCTACGTCCAAGTAAAGAAACATCCGACAGCAGCTGATATATTTACAAAACTCATAAAAATACCACTGATTTCCTTGTGTTGTGGATGGATCGATGGATGGATTTTTTTGTAAGTGTAACATCAAAAAGTACATTTCAAGAAATTATGACCATAGAATATGCTTTTCATTGTACTGCTTTACTTTACTCGCAGTTCTGTGAGCTTGATTAAATAAAAATAAAAACAGTGGGTTAAATGAGCTCAGACAGTCTCCAGTCCCCTGGAACAAAAAAGATTCTGTCTGCTGTGGTTTGCCCCCACCAAACCAGAAATCACTTTAAAACTTATAAAAGACATAAAAAGGCATTTAAAAATTGTAGTTGGTCGTGGAGACCTTAATTTAATAAAATTCTTTCACTTTTCAGGCTGTTGTCGTATATCAGGGGAGCACACTTTTATTTTCAAAGATTGTTCTTTTCAAACATTGGCTTTTAAATTAAGGTTGGATAAAGTTCTACTTATGTTTTTCATACAAACCGTGGTGATAAGTTCCACAAAATATGCAAACAAACACGGATGTTAAAGCTTCCATAAAAGCAATAATCAAGCAACTGTCACTTTTCCAAACCGATACCCAAAAGCTTAAACACGTGATTGTATTTTGTCAGCATTTCAAACTGCTTTTCCTTGTTTCCCTTTATTAGATTTCTTTCAAAACATAAACATTGCTCTTGTTTCGTCACGGTGCGGAACACTTGGAGTCATGCGGTGCGCACGTCGGAGAATAAGAATCTCAGTGTAAATGATTGCTCAAACCCTGACAGCATCAGTGACTGTTGCTCCCTCGTGTCTGGTCTTGTCGTTCTGGAGTCTCTGTGAAAACCTGTTACACTCTTTCCACACTCCCACTCTTTTCTGTGCGAAACTAATGCATCAAACTGAAGGCAGCACCAGATAAAAACATGGAGGTGAGGTGCCAATTGTCCTGAAAGTCTTGTATACAGGGGTCGGTGCAGAATTTGCAAAAATAATCTTGTTGATTTGAGCAACTCAGTGGTGTTCTGACATCTCATTTACCACCTGACTCTGTCTGACAGGTTACCAAAATGGTCCACGGCAACTGCTCGTCTCCCGCTAACGCCACGGGTGAGACCATCGTGGGCAACTCCACCGCCACCACTTTGGGCGCCCTGATTCTCACCGTGGTCTTCCTCCTGGGCTTCCCTGGCAACGTGTTTGTCATCTGGAGCATCCTGGCACGAGCCCGAAAGCAGTCCGTCACCACCCTGCTCATCCTCAACCTGGCCATCGCCGACGGCTCCTTGATGGCCCTCACTCCGTTCTTCATCGCCTACCTGGTGTCCATGAAGTGGATGATCGGGAACGTGATGTGCAAGATCCTCTTCTACCTCTGCCTGGTCAACATGTACGCCTCCATCCAGCTCATCATGCTGATGAGCATCTACCGGCTGGTGTCGGTGCTGTGGCCGCAGCGCATCAGCACCATCACCGGCCACCGGACCATCATGCGGGTGCTGGCGGTGGTGTGGGTGCTGGTGATGGTCGCCTCCGTGCCGGCGCTCATCTTCCGAGAAGTGAGGTGCAAGGGCTCCTCGGCCATGGTGTGCGACTCGTACCACGATCATGACAGCGAAGTAAGTTCCGGGACCTCAAATCTTACACAAATAAATGCATTTTTCTGTTCTTATCCGTTCTCATTCAATTCTATTGTATCTCTTTCGCACAGGTGGTTCTGCAGTACACTATGGAGCTTGTACTGGGATTTCTAATCCCCTACGCAATCATCTTAGTCAGCTACATTTGCATATTGCGGCGGATCCGACAGACCAAGTTCAGGCGCCGCATCCGTAGTGAGAAGCTCATCCTGGCTATCGTGTTGACCTTCTGCCTCTTTTGGCTGCCCTACCACGTCATCAACATGGTGCAGGTACGGCACACTCTGCAAAGCGACACGTCTGTGGGCTGACAAGTCTATAAATCTGTTCGACTTCAGTCTGTTTTTCTTGCTTTTTCAGGTTACATGGGCTTTGTGTCCCAGCGGCCCCATGAAAAACACGTAAGTGACGACAAAATCACTGCATTTATTTGCAGTAATGCTCATTTAAGAAATATCATAAAATAAAACAATTCAACTCAGGTTTGGTATGTATTTGAATTTAATTTAGTCTTTTTGTTTGATTTGATTTAATGTATCAGTGTGAAGCGTAATTACGAAAGATAATCTCTTTGTTAAGAGAGATCTTGAATTTAAAGCTTTGTCTGCCTTTGTCTCCCCTAGACTGCATATAATATGGCAACGAAGTCGGGCTGTCACCTCCGCCGTGGCCTTCATCAGCAGCTGTGCCAACCCGGTGCTCTACTTCTTCGCAGGGAAGTCCTACATCAGACGAGAAGGGCTCGCATTCATGGCTCGCCTGTTTGAGGGCACGGGGCTGGACTCCTCCAGAAAGAGCAGACAGAACAGCCAGAACAGTCGAGACAAGGACAAAGACGCAGACGTCGTCATGATAAAAGATAAAGATCAAGACGATGTCACGAACTCCAGTTCAAACGCGAAAAATGGCAAATGCTAGCCACTCAGGGTTTTAAACCTGCTGTCCGTCCAGTCAGGAAAATTGGGGTTTTGGAAATATTTGTTGGACAGCTGGTTCCTACCAAGTAACGACAGGAAAATTTGCAAGCAACTCAGCAGCTGTGTGTAAAATCAAATGTAGTTTTATGACATCTGCTAAATGCATAAACATAAACATTCCTGGAAATGCCCCCCAACCAGGCGCATCACGAAATGGACCTGTTGACCTGTTATGTTAATCAAGACTGGTGGGCCTCATTTTGGTTTGAAGAAAAAGTTTCAAGATTCCACCCCTCAAGACTGTGGATGTTGCCAAGTTTTACTTCATCATTTGTTTTTTTATTATTTGTTTATGCTATATGAGTCATCATGTTCTGCTCAAAGACCATACATCGGGTAAAAGTTATGAGATGGGTTGAGAACTGACCTGCAAACACTAAAGTTTTTTATTAAAATGCATGCTTTCAAAAACAAAAACTAATTTCCTCTTATTTTTCGTGTTTAAAGAGGTCATATTTTTTGTAAATTAGTTTGTTATGTTTGTGGTGGTCTGTTACAAGGTCATTTGAAAAAAAGAAGCCTGGATGATTAATAGTTGTCATGCATGAGCAGTGTCCTCTGTAAGTAAGAGTTTGGAGAAGAATTTGGGTTTTAAAACACTTTAAAAATGACTGATCAATTAATTTGAGAAGAAAAAAAATAACTGAGTCATTTTTTAGTAATCTATTGGCAGAAATGAAGCTATGGCAGTGGACTAGTTCTGGCAGGCCAACATCTGTGCTGCCTCCCACTCTACATACCCCCTTACTACTGTCTTTCCTAACTTAGTTGTAAAGTTCACAATTTGCTCTGCTTTCGCAACTCATTTTCAGTTAATGTAGAATCATGACGTAGAATTTAAATGCACATTTTCGTTATCAGACGCCACCCCTGTGTCCCCTCTGAAAAGCTATTGGAATGCAAAGGTTCAATGGAAGAGACTTTGGCCAGTTTTTTGTGGCCATTGTGGCACACCCATTGTGGGTTCTTACACATTCAACCGTTTACTTTATCACCAAACTTAGTGTAGCCACTCGTTAACTAATAGTATCCTCACAAACCAACCCACCCACTCACCTTTGATAGGGTAAAGGCATTAATACTTGAACGGTTTCGAGCAAATTATAGACTGTCTTTCAGGGAACACTGCCACCTGCTGGAAATGGCCTCTGTTAAGAAATGTTTGATTGTCCTTTCCTTGGCATTTCAAGACAGTTATGTGTTTTTTTTTTGCCTATTTGACACTTGCTATATATAGCTGTAAGATTAATGATTTTGTCATGCTGAATGGTTAAACTATGTTATTTTGTCAATTCTTTGAAAGACTAGGCTTTTGTTTATTTCGTACCATAAATTTATTTCGTACCATAAATCCTTTAATTTCTGACATGTTTCATAAATATATACATATATCCAACTACTGTTTCTAAAGTTTTAGAACTATCATTTGTATCTGTTCTGACTTTTAAACTGTTTGATTAATATCCTGACATACATACACTGAGATTGAATGACATCTGGATGTCATTTTTTTCAAGATTTATGGTTGGCAGCTCCTCATCTGAAAAATATAGAAAAGGATGTGCATTACCGGTGTAAGCCCCCCAATTTGCATCACACAGTAGTCATTTTTTCTTTTAAGCAACTTTGCAAGCCCAAACTGTGATATTTTCAATGTAGAAATACAAATGAAGCAAAACCTGATACATCATATCCGCTTATGCAACCCAATTACATCCTGTCTTTGAACGCGTGATGTTGAAATGTACAAAGAAAAAAAGAAAAGGGTATGATTTATAACTCCTGTATCAACAGGTTTTACATGGTTTACTGGAATATCCTCCCCCTCGTAATTTTACCCTTATGGTGATGTGCCATGCTGCTTGTTCCAGCTCTCCCTTAGGAAGCACAATTCTTCATCTCCCTTTTCACACAAAAATATGTGTGAAGGAAATCTGTGACGTTTTAAACAGGAAATATCAGTCATTTCACATTATGTTTGACTTAATCAGCACTCTGCAAAGGTAAGATGTCAATGCCAACATTGTGCCACTGAATAAGGGTTCTTGATAGCGTTGCCTGGTATTATATGAATCTGTAACATAAAGCAAAATGAGGAGTAGGAGGAACAGTGTCTACCTCACAACCCAGCTCTTTCTAGCTTCCTGTGGTCATGGTTTTCCCCTCACATGACCATTATTACTCAATATATGTAGTTTGTTCACCACTTACGCAGTGTCGAGAGGAGAGTGAGGAGCCAAGACTTTCAAGGTGAAAAGGAGGTTCTATTTTTTCAACAGGGTTTACTGTCACAACCACAAGAAAGGAGCTTCATCAGGTAAAAGGTGAGTTTGTTGACACTTTTAGTCATTACATATTCTTTTATTTTTTAAGTTTGCTTTAGATTTCGTGAGTGACAAGTTTTCGGTAAAGCTTGTCTTAATGAAAGGAAGGTGTGTTTTTGTGGCCACGTGTCTCTGAAGATTAGAAATCTGAAGGATGTTTTAGTCTGTGTAAACAAAGGCACCTACTTTCTCATAGCTGAAGTGGATTCTGTATTTTTTTTTTTTTTTTAATGTTTTTTGGAGGCAATTTTATGATAATGGAAAGGAGACGATATTAAAAACATAAGAAAAAAGGGTGTTTTTGATGGTTGAATGCTATTCTGCTCTTAATGATGAAACATCCATATCATAAAGGTGGCTGCACAGAAATTGTTAAAACTTTTCCTAAATAGAAGAAAATTGCACTACATCCTGCCCCACGAACGCACATTCAAGTTTGGCACTGCTCAACGCAGCGTTCTTTTTCCTGCCTTTCTCTCATTTCAAAGCTAGTGTCCTCCGAGAATCTCACACAATGGAGCCCAACATCAGCACCGGCAACTCCCCCGCCTTCTCCCCGCCCTTCATTCTGCCCCTCAACCTCTCCATGAAGGTTGGCGTCTGCATTCTGAGCCTGGCGTTTTTGCTGGGCTTCCCCGGGAACCTGTTTGTGGTGTGGTCGGTGCTGTGCCGAGTGAGGAATCGCTCCGTCACCTGCCTGCTGGTGCTGAACCTGGCGGCCGCCGACGCCTTCGTGCTGCTCAGCGCCCCCTTTTTCCTGCGCTACCTCGCCGGGGGGCGAGGCTGGGAGTTTGGCTCAGCGGCGTGCAAACTGGTGCACTACCTGTCCAGCGTGAACATGTACGTGTCCATCTACATCATCTGCCTGATGAGCATGGACCGCTGGCTGGCCGTCACCAGGCCCTTCCTGTCTCAGAGGATGAGAACAAAGCGCTCCCTGCTGTTTCTCCTGCTGGGGGTCTGGGTGCTGGCCTTCATCCTGTCTCTGCCCATGCTCTTCTATCGCAGGTGAGACCCCAAATGTATTCATTCCTCACAGATTTTGGCTTGATGAGACCTTTAAACTACACCAAAGCACAGCATAATAGACCAGGAGTGAGGGACATTTACATATAGATCTGCACGTGTGTGTTTCTATATGTATCTATACACACACATATGGTATGAAATAACAGGATATGAATATATAGTATATTTAAATATGTAGCTGGAATAGGAAAGCACAGTGGAAATATCCACATTAACTCTTGCATTTGGACTTTTCTACCATAGCCTTAGTGTCTCTAACAGGTTTGTGACACGGAAGCTGTCATTGTGAAATCCCCCCACTGTGGGTCCAGAAATTGTGCAATAATTTGAGCTGTGATGGTATTTATTGCAAGTTTGTGGTCTGTAAAAATTTTTTTACGTATCTGTTCCCTTTGTTGGGTCTGCTTGTTTCTGCTGCTGTCATGTAGGACCTACTTTAGAACCTTAGTGAAGTCATTTTAAACAGTAAGTTGTCCTGCTAATTTTTTGTTGACTTGATCCAGAGGTTCCTCTTAGCGTCGTGTACAATCAGCAAAACTTTGCACTCCCACTATCAACAAATCCCATCTTCATTAAAGATATGCATAAGTATTTTGAATGCATTTACCTTTAATGCCAGAATCGTCAGATCGACTCTGCAAAACCATATGTATCATATTTGACACAAACGGTTTCTGAAATCTTTTGCACCAGAGACCTTTTTGCATCATTTTATGGTAAAAACTTTGCTCAAAACCCCATTGCACACAATGAGATACACCTGACTACAGAGGGCAGAAGTCTAGACGACAATAATTTTGAATTATTCTAATAAATAATGACTGTTAAAAAATTCTTCTTATTTATTTTTTCACATTCCTTTGTAGGGCCAAATAAAGACTAAGACTAAGTTGTTCTTCTTGGATTCCGTTAGGCTGTTTGAGCAGCCCTGGTTGCTATTGATAATGGTTTGAATGGATGCCCCTGGTCAACAGGGCGGCAAAAGATTATTTTCTTTAAAAACGTGAATATTACTCATGTTACTTATTCCCATTTGTCTTTGTCTGGATCTCCTTCTGTCTCTTTTACAGTAACATAAAGTTCCGACCCAACATCACTTTGACCTTATGTAGACCATTCCACTTCAACAGCATGGGCCACAAAGTCTTCCAATACCTGTTTGAGACCGTCATGGGCTGCCTGGTGCCGTTCTCCCTCGTCAGCTCCTGTTACACCTCAGTCATATGTCGACTCCAGAGTGCCAAGTTCCAGCGCAGGGGGCAAAGTAGCCGCCTGATCCTGATGATCATCTGTGCTTTTGCAGTATTCTGGCTGCCTTATCACATTGTCAATATCATTGAGGTGATCTTCTTTGCCAACATAAAGATTTTAATGATCATGGACTAAAACGGCCACAATTCTTAGAGACAAAATCTGTTCTTCTTTTTTCAATCCTGGCTCTGATGTCTCCTATTGGTCCCTCAGGTGGCCGGTCTCTTACAGAGCAGTGACCCGGTGATCGGGGCTGCCCGAACTGCCCGGCCCAACGTCACTGCGTTCGCCTACTTCAGCAGCGCCGTCAACCCGATCCTCTACGTGTTCGCCGGCAGCTCCCACATCCGCCAGGCCGGACTCAGCTTCATGGGCAAGCTCTTCGAGGCCACCAACTCTGAGAGCAGGTCCACGTCCACCTTCACCCGCGGTAGCTCCTCAAAGGACGAGAGGACCACCCTGCAGACACTGTCGGTTAAATTTGGGAAGCCCTTTGCAGGAAAGAGCAAGGACAGGAGTGAAGCGGTCAAAGAACCTGAACTCAAGATGCTGGAAACTGTTGAATAGCCGGGGAAAGCTGATTTACATGGACCATGTTTCAAAATCTATGGACCCTGATAAAGACTTATTAATTATTATTATTTCTGAGACCATACTTTCATTGCGCTTTGTTGTATTGGTTTAAAACTGAACAGGAAACAGCACTGAAAAATGTAAACAGCTAAGCGGGGTGTGATGGGTGTGATACCGTTGATGCTATATTATATGCTATATTATATATAAATGAAAATAGATATAGATGTGCTTTTTATGTGTTGAAATGTAATAAATTATTCAATATAGTAAGCACACATTTTAACAGAGAAGCAGTTTGCAAAATAAATCAAGTTTTTAGTTAAAATGTAATAGTATTGTTTTTTTTTCTAGGATAGCAGACATTTCACGAATTGTCCTGTACTCAATAGGTGTGATTACATTCTTACTGATGCCGTATGGCCAGAACATTTCCCAAGAAAGGTTTCACCAAGGTAACCGTTTTGTCATTGTTATGGTTGTTGCTCAGCTCCGTGTTACCCAACACCCAACCGACATCTTTACACTGCAAGACGGCTTTTGTTTAAGAACATCACTTTAAGCTCATCACTTTTTAAAAAGGTTTAATTCATCTCTTGTTTTCCCATCATATGTTGCTAGTTGATGTTAGTTAGTGTTGTGGTGAGAGCCCAACGGGGATACAGTCATAGTGCTTTGTAAGTTGCTTTGGCTAAAACCGTTGCTAAAATGCATGAACATAAACAAACATATATGGACAAATGCTCCTGTTACAGTAGATATTCCCAATAATTCCAAAACAGGTGTTATTAATGTGTAACCTCAGTTTCTACATGGCCCAATTTCTGTACTGGCTTTCTATAATCCGCTGATGTTTTACGAAGTACTTTCCAAAGTAATTCCAAGGGCAGCTGGAAAGGCTTCTTCAGTACTACAAGTACCACCAGACTGGCCCCACACACACCGTACACACTGGCCCAAAGGTTTGATGATACGCTGTTTTCACCGGCTTGCATATGTTTGAAAGCTGATACTTGACCACCATGTACTAAAACTAAAGCCGAGAACTAGCCACAGCAGTACGGCCACAAAAGCATATTTTTTGTCATCCAAAACAACCGAAACACATACATTTTTCTTATTGGTTCGAGGGATGAAGACATCACTTCGACATCTGAGAGTTGCACAGAATGGATCTGCGTCACAGTGCACACATGTTGCAACGTAGAGTTTTTTTTTTTTAAATGGAAGGAGTGTAAAGAACAATGCTGTGTGTGAATATTTATATATAAATACACATATCTGAGGTCATGGCAAGTGTTTCTAAGCATGATATTAATGAATGCATGCTTCATTCAGCTCCAAGGAACATTCATATGTATGTCTGGAGCCAGTAATGATGCAACACTTGTAGCCTCACTGGTGGAAGTGCCCATTTTCAATGACAGATAAAAGGTATTTTCTTGCAGGGGCAAGAGATAGTTTGACTCAAACTAAAACTTTTCTAAGTAAGAAGGTCTCACCACACCAAAGTGGTCAGTACCACAAATACCGATGCTGTGATTGTAAAGACAGCCTTTACTGTGGTGGAGAGAGAGAGAAATAAATGATCTGACACAATCACCTATTGGATCATGAGGGGTTTTCTGACCTCATGAGATGTCTCAAACCTCATAGTTAAGATATTGTAAGATAGGATGACTTGAGAGCTTGACCATTAGTCATAGTTTAAACCAGGCCACTTGCTCTAACCTGCTAAAAACAATGAGCAATGCATATTAACAATACATAAAGTATGTATATGTGCAATCGTGGGGGGGGGGATCAGGCCAGACCACTTTTCCTTCTGATTCTATTTCATTTTCATCTTGCCCTTCTTTCCATTCAGCCTCTAAGCTGAAATAATAACCATGTGTGGTTTAGGGGAACGAGCATGTTATTTAGGTTATGACTTTTTTTCATGCAGCACTGCCCTCATTACTGTGAAAGTAGAAAAAAAAAAAAAAAAAAGCGCTGTGACCTTATTTTGCAGTGAGTAATTTCCAGGTATGCAAGAGATGCAGAAAGAATGAGGCAAAGGGTTCATCAGTGTGCACTGTGTGGATCAATGAAATGAAAATGCAATGAGATAAACAGACCAATTAGAAACTCCTCAGACTAGAGCGTTGACCCATATTCAAGCATATTAGAAATCCGACAAAGCAGCACCCCCCCCCCCCCCCCCCCAATGCAGTATCTGTGCATTTATCAAAATTAAACATAACGTTCAGGCTCAAGCAGAAATCTTTGACGTGACAGGAAGCTGCTCATGCAGGGCTAAACAGATTAAACAAAACTCTCGGTATTGTGAAATGCAGAATATTTTCTGTGGTTGGTTGCCTGACCCCTTTAAATATCAAGTTTTGGGGATAAGTACTTTTTCTGATTAATCAGCTTTATGTTCCCCTAATAGCATTTTGAGGTTATGTTTTTCTGACGAAATTCAAAGTTTCACTGGTTTGATTTATCGATGAAAGAATATAATGTGTTTTTTAGTGACATTCAGACTAATATAGGGGTTTTCCAGAAAAAAATCTCTGCTTGCTTTGCAGACTTACAGTTTTATGCCGTTTTGTTAAATTAATAAGAAGTTAAAGAATAAAACCGGGGCGTTTTGGTCAAGGATATGATACATTTTATTTCAGAAATCCTGGGTAACAAGCTTATCCCAGTGGCCAGTTGTTTGGTCATAAAAAGGAAGACACAAACTTAACAGAAAGTGAAGAACAGGTAAAATATTTTCAAAAAGCTGAATGGCGATATTGCCAATTGCATGTTTTTTATTTCCCAAGAATAGTACTTGACATGTTTCTCTCAGACTTGAAAAGTTTATATCCAGAAATGCAGTGGTCTATTCATATTGCAGGAATCATAGTTAATATGGTCACATCATCATATTCTCTTTATAGAATATATTTGTCCAACATTTGCGTACTGTTTACATGCTACACTGTGCAAAAGCATTTTGAAAAATCTGAACAGTTTGACCTGAACCAGATGAGAACTGAGCAAAAACGAGGAGGATCATTATTAATGAGAACAGCTGAGCAGATAGACACAGGTTGAATGAGCAGATGATGAACAAAACAAAGGGAACTGTGAGAGAAAAACACACACAATAAACAGACAATACTGAAATACTGATCAAAGTAAACAAAGAAAGATTAAGTGTACCCAACTAATAAAGAAACAGTAATTGGGAGCATAAAACCACCAAAGCGAAACCCACAAAGGAAAAGAGACAAAGACTGCAGGTTAAGTGAATGCAAAGATGAATGACTGAATGGAAAGAAAAACTGATAAAGAAACAAGGAAAATTCACCACAAAAAAAGAGAAAACAAAAAAACAAAAGCAAAATAGAGAAACTCACAGCCCATGACAGGTTGACACAGGGCGTGCATATCTGTGATCCACATCTCCTTTGCCAAGTTTACATAACTGAAGTAGCTGGTATGATCTCAACATTTTTTCTGTAAAGTTCTTTTAAAAATTTTGAGCCGAGACATTTCTATTTTTCTGCACCATGGTAAACCTTTTGTATTGCATGGGCTCCAGTAAGACCCCCGCCCCTCCACCCACGACCCTACCAGGAATAAGCGGTACCGACAATGGATGGATGCATATATTTATCTTTATTTTTAAATCAACCCAAAACTCATCCAGAGCTTTTTTGATCAGGAGAGTTGGGAAGCGACAAGGAACAAACAGCCAGATCGGTGTACGGGTGGGGCATGCCTCCCAGGTTTTCCCAGCACCCCTTCTTGGGGTCATAGCAATGCACCAGCTTTGTATCTCTGGCCGTGTCTGCTGAAGACCCCCCAGCTACGTACAGCCGCCCGTCCAGAACAGTTGCTCCAGCACTCAGGTGAGGCTTAGGCAGGGCAGGAAAGAAGGACCAAGAATTGCATTTTGGGTCGTATAGCTCACAAAACAGTTGGTCTCCAAAGCCCGGCCAGAGCGGCTGCAGCCCTCCAGCTACCACCAACCTGCTCGCTAAGGATAACATCACATGGCCGGCACGACCGGCTCCGGCGCTCATGGAGGCTCTCAGAGAACAGCCATGGGAGGGATGATAGGTCCACATAGTGGGGAGGCAGTGTTGATGGGCATCGCAGCCACCAGAGATGTAGATTTGCCCGTCCAGGACAGCTGCTGCATGACCACAGACGGCTACGTCCAGATGGTGAGCCAGCCTGCAGGAGGACAACAGGAGTCCATCAGCCAAATAGATTTATGACATTCAGTCCCAAGATAATCATTTTCAGGAAAGAATAACAGGTAACAGGTGTGCTCTACCAAATGGTTGAGCAGGATGTTATCGGTAAATGGTATTAAAAAATAAGAGTCATGCCCTGTAGAAGAGGGTTGTGACCTTAGGGTGATAAGATCACATTCCAAACATTCCCGCCACTAGAGTGTATTATTTACCTCCAGGTGTTCTCCGTAGGACTGTAGGACTCCACAGTATCCAGGTATTCACTGTCATCACAGTTACCACCAAGGGCAAAAATCTTCTCATTTAGGCACACAGCAGCAAAGTTGTCCCTTTGGCACAGCATGTCGGGCAGCTTTTCCCATTTACGCTGCAGCACGTCAAACCTAATCATGCTCACACAAACACATTTTCTATAATAGATTAAGCTTTTTCTTTAGCTTTGTTGCTACCCATCACACTTTCCATGAACTGACCCAAACTTGTAACAATGTTGGTACCATTGAGGACCATTAAGCATAGACTTTACTCAGGATCTCTTTTATGGTCAATAAAAAACCTTTGTACTTAAACCTGTTTTATCCCACTCAAATGTACCTTGTGGCAGACTTAAGGATATCCAGTGATCCATAATACCTTCGCCCCCCTAGGACATACAGCTGGTTGTTGAGGAGGCAGATACAGTGTCTGAACCTGGGTGTCTCTGGAATCTTTGTGAGTGGTTTCCATTGTATGCTTCTTATTAGACCGGGGCCCCGGTGGAACTGTTGAGCGAACCACAAGGTCCGGCTTTGAACTCTCTTCGTGAGCTCATCATTGACTGTGTCCCCGCCCACCAAAACCAAAACCTAAAGAGGGGAAAGAGTTTCAAGCCCACAACCCCGAACAGGCCATGCGTGGAATAATGAGGTTGAGGAACAGAAGGAATAATGCACCAACCTGGTTTGGGGTGCGAGGCTGACATTCGGCGCCTCTGTAGGTGCCTTCCAAGAGGCTCCGGAGGATTTCTAGAGTTCCCCTTGTCCCGGGGGTCCTGTGCAACAGGCTGCAGCTCAGAGCCTCCCGCAGTTCGGACCGGCTTAGGAGTTGGAAACGAACATGACAAAGAAGGCCGGCCAGATGTGGCAGTCTTTCTTTTGGGTGGTCCTCGACCCAGCTCACCCCTACCCGAAACACTGCAATCTAGGCAGGAGAAAGGGTTAGGGTTAGGTTTTTGTGGATTTTGGCAATACTATAACAAAAAAGGCTCCTGTCAAAATAAGACAGCGATGCTATGGAACTTTAGAGACAGGGAATCAGGAATTTAAAAGCTGGTGATTTGCAACTTATATTGCATATGTCTATGTCAAATGGTTTGGCCAAGAACAATACAGCCCACAGTCAGTTATGTAAAGTAACACAATATGTCATATATCTCATTTACATCAGTTCGGAAGCCATTCTCACAAAACAAGGGGGCCTCCCCATAAAGAGTCATGGGTGTGCTTGTGTGACATTTCTTCCCTTTAGGCGGGGCCATTTCTTTATTAGGACTGGACATTTTGTGAATAGTCCTAGTATGTTATTTTGTTAGGATAAAATGCGTCATTCATTATTTACAGGTCAGGTTAATCAAAAAGAAAGAAAATCAGATTTCCATTAAACACTGAAACTTTTCAGACATTATTGGCAAATATTCTCAGACTAGCTCGAGCAAAGCTAACTAACCTTTTCAGTTTATGTTTGGCCTTTTTGATGGCTGAATTAAAAAAAAGAAAGCATAGAAATATTAACCTACCTCTCTCTCCACACACAATGAGTCTTTAGGCAGCAGCCTGTCCAGGAAGACGTAGGGGACATCCTTGAACCTCTCCCCAGTCGAGATGCACTGGAAGTGGGCCAAAGTGTATTCCTCTGCAGCCTGCTTCAGCTGGACCAGGCCATAAGTCTCTGCCAGGACCAAGACATCTAGACAGGTACTCTCATTCATTCTACTCTGTAAAAAGTCAGTGCAGAGCGAGAGCGCCCCCTCCAGCTGGAACTGAATCATTGCAGCTGTCAGCTCCCAGATCTGGCTCCAGCCCAGCCCGAGCTGACCCGTGTAGAAGAAACAGAGCATGGATTTGATTACCCAGAATGGCACGCCTCGCAGACACACAACGTCTTCTCTGGACTCCCGCAAGCCTCCGCATAGCAGAGCCCGGAAATAGTCCCCACCAGCTGCCAAGACCGCACGGTGAGCTGGAGACAAAGAGCCTTGACTAAACACCGTGAATGACAGTTGTTATTGTATAAACACAATGATATTTTCTGCAGAAGAAGATTACGTATGATTTGGGTGGAGTCGGTGAGAGCTTGGGAAGGAAAAGGTTACGCATTCCTTTGAATTGAAATAGTAAAACTCTGACACATCGTTTACATGGAAAGTGTCTCTCCCATCTGTTATCTGAATGTAAAATCCACCTCTCCCAACCCACCTACATAATCAATTCTAAAAGCAACAAGTCAACAACAAGTCAGAACTATTCTTGGAAGGGGGAAACTATCAGTGCATGAAGTACAAGTGGATAAATCACACATACATCCGGTTCTATCCACCACTATGGAATCTTATACACTAAAAAGCCTAGTCCCTGGAGGTCACATAGGTATATCCAGTGTTCAGTTTTAACTACACTCATCTCCTAAGATAGAGAAAATCTCCTTTGGCCATACGAACAATTGACAAGCTGCCATTTTCGGCTCATGGAAGTACTCGGTGGCGTCTTACCTGGGTACCTCTCACCGGTCTCGGCTTGTATTGTGATGTCACACCCCACCCCCTTGTCCCACATGTCCTTAATGGTAGCCAGGCTCTTCTGCCGCTCCGTTGCAGCGGGGGTCGTGACCCCGGCCCTGCACCTCTCCCTCAGCCTCTCCATCTGGAGACGCTTACAGGCATCCAGCACCTCCTCTGCCACCCCCTCTTTACTCAAGTCCAAAGCGACATCTCCAGAGTATGCGAACTGGAGAATCGCTCCTAACCCGAGTGGAGTGGAACAGCTAGCGAGCTCTTCCAGCTCAGGCCCAGACTTTTGTTTTGCACCCAAAAATGAACTGGGGCTTTGACTGGCCGCTGCCAGGACAAGCCTATGGGCCTTGAATGTGCTTCTTTGGACTGTGAAGGCGCAGTCCAGGAGTAGCTCTTCCTCCTTAAGTCTCTGTAAGTTAGAGAAGAGGATGTCAGGGTGTGAAGGGAGGACATAGGGGAGGAGGTCTGAATCTTTGGGCGGAGTAGAAGATGAGTGCGAGAGAGGCTGGTGGGCCTTGGAGTCTCCTGCATCCCGTCTTTTGTTTTGAGGGAGATTTTTTGGGGTGGCCCTCCGCTGAACATCACCCACAGCTTGGAATCTTGCTTTGTTGCGGCTTCCCTCGGCCCAGGTGCCTGTCGCCATGGAGAACAGCAGGCCCGTCCTGTGAAAAGCACACTGCCGGTGGAAAGAAATGGAATAAGGAGAGAGGTGTGAGTGGTGTATTCCTGGAAATGTCCCATCCAGGCACTTCACTTATTTACTGTCACATCAGACACATGTCAGTTGACTTGTGATCCATGGAATGTTGTTTATGCTTCACGGATGACCCCCACCCCCACACCGGTGACATGAAAGGTCAGTCATGACATAATGACAGTCAGTCATATAATTACATTTAACCAGTTTTTCCGCATGCTAACAGAAACATCTATTTCTGACTCTCAGTTTACTTCACAGGCATCAGTAAGCAGAAAGGGTCTGCTCTCACCTCACTAAAAGAAAAAAACATTCAAACAGCATCTGTACCACAAAACACTGCAGCAGCAGCAGCACACTCTGTTGTAACTGTGCACAAAGAGGAGTCTCTGCTTTCTTGTAAATTGTGGGTCGTTGAATTCGGGAGATGAAGAGGGGACCTACCCGTTAGAGCTGCTCCGCCAGCGTGGGTGGAAACAAGTGACTTCGACCAGAGCACAATGGCATTATGAGCATGCGGGGCGCTGACGGTATTAAAGCAGGGTTTAATTATAGAAGGGCACTGGCACCGTGAGGACGTCTCATAGCCCCCACACGTCGCCCAGTGTGGGGGCTTTTCAGAACCTGTGGAAAACCAGGACTACTGCGGAAAGGGTGAAGAGAATATGTCAAACAAAACAAAAAAAGAAAGAAAAGAAAATTGGATTTGGATTGGATCGTTTAAAAAATGCCAACAAATTGACATCTTGCATTGCGTTCCAAAGGGTAATGTTTATGCCCATCATTGTCTTTGGAAGTGGCCCAGAGAAACTGAATTCTTCTCACCTTCCCTCACAATCTGCCCAAGACAATTATTAGCCAGTTTTTGAAAGGCTATCGATCCCCACTGTTTGATGTGTATGGAAACATGATGTGGAGCATTCGGAGCATAACATGACAGCAACAAAGGGCATAAGGGGCCCTGATGCTGATGTGTATCATATACACTAAGCAAGTGAAGAGTTCTTTCCTGTTTCTTATTGATGCAGAAAACACTACCAGCCCATTTATTGTCAACAATTCTGAAAAATGTTATCAAAGACACAGTAAATCTGTCGAATGAATATTCTTCTTCTAAGGGCCTCTTAAACAACCCAAAAAATGCTCAGAGCTTAAAAAGTTTAAGAGCAGAGAGAATTGCCTTGTAGCGATATTATATGCAAATATTGATTTCTCATAAGCCCATACGGCCAGACAATTGAAGAAAAAACACTTACAGTACGGAGCAAATAACTTTACCTTTATTAAAAGCTACAAAGCTGTGCTGGCTGCCCCTGACTTCCCACTTGCTTCTGTTTACTCCAGCTGCTACGCGAGTACGATTTGTGTCCCGGATGAACATCTACCAGATACCAAACACAAAACAGAGAAAATCGGCATGGTTGAAGGACTAGAATGCAGGTTTGTGCGAGTGTGTGTGTCCGTGTGCACGTGTACTACGAAATGAGAGGATGTGCGGGCGTGCATGTCTGTGAGGGGGAGGGAAGAACGTGTATTACATGGGAGGAGATAAGGTCTACCTTAGGTATAAATTACTTTCAAAGTGAGGTGGTGAAAAGAAAAGGACCTTTTCATCTCGCTCCTCAGCAGAAGACAGCAACAGTAAGTTTAAGCTTTCCATCTTTGTGTTAAATTTTCCATGTAATATTACATGGAAAAATATATTTGTAATGATTTTTAATTAATAAACATATTTTATATATTGTATTTAATAATATCTAAGATGAACCCTTATTAGAGGGTTCATCTTAGATATTGAGTTGGGTTTGATTTTGTAACTTGTTAATGAATGTTTGCTTTGAATTTCATTTAAATCATTCTTATAATTTGTCATAGTTTCCCTCAAAAGCATTGTTTTCATCATTGGAAGACAAGTATTCAGATATTTTTTGTATGCACAGAATGTATAAAGAAAGCCACAAACCTAAAACACTGATGGCAAATTCTTTGTCCTTCATTTTTCCTTTTTTTCATATTATGTTATAAACAAAAGCCATGAAGTTTAAGTTTACCAAACAGACAAGGGGAAAAAAAACTTAACCTTGTTTTTCTTTTTTGCATGCTACTGCACAGGGGCCTGAAAGGGTGTGCACATGGGGCAGCTCATATCCAAACAGAAGGTGTTGGGCGTCCGCTTTTCCAGCGATGGAGAGGGGCCACCTGTGTACTCCTCTCATTTCCGTCGCGATAGCATGCCGAACCATAACCTCAGGGTTCCACCGACCATCGTGGTCTCTGATGAGGATTCCAGGTTTGAATCCACTCCTCACCCATTCTCACCATTCATCTCAAATTAGTATTATTTGTATTTTTATCCCTGCTGACACTATATTTCAGACATGTTGTTCCTATCCAAAAGTGGAAAAACAATACAAAAAAACATTTGATTTTCTGTCCCTAAAGTGTCACCATATTAAATCCCTTTGTTGGCCATCATACTTTTTTGCTTTTTGGACATAAATTCACACACCGATTTGCAATATCCATCCATCCATCCATCCATTCTCCTCTGCTTATCCGGGGTCGGGTCACGGGGGCAGCAGCCGGAGCAGGGAAATCCAGACTTCCCTCTCCCCGGCCACTTCGGCCAGCTCCTCCGGGGGGATCCCGAGGCGTTCCCAGGCCAGCCGGGACACATAGTCCCTCCAGCGGGTCCTGGGTCTTCCTCTGGGCCTTCTCCCGGTGGGACGAGCCCGGAACACCTCCCCAGGGAGGCGACCAGGAGGCATCCTGATCAGATGCCCGAGCCACCTCAACTGGCTCCTCTCCACGTGGAGGAGCAGCGGCTCTACTCCGAGCCCCTCCCGGATGGCCGAGCTTCTCACCCTATCTCTAAGGGAGAGCCCAGCCACCCTGCGGAGGAAACTCATTTCGGCCGCTTGTATCCGCGATCTCGTTCTTTCGGTCACTACCCAAAGCTCGTGACCATAGACGAGGGTGGGAACGTAGATCGACCGATAAATTGAGAGCTTCGCCTTTAGGCTCAGCTCTCTCTTCATCACGACAGACCGGTACAGCGCCCGCATTACTGCAGACGCCGCACCGATCCGCCTATCGATCTCACGCTCCCTACCCCCATTCGCAAACAAGACCCCGAGATACTTGAACTCCTCCACTTGGGGAAGGACGTCCGCTACGACCCGGAGAAGGCACTCTACCCTTTTCCGGTGAGAGACCATGGTCTCGGACTTGGAGGCACTGATCCTCATCCCAGCCGCTTCGCACTCGGCTGCAAACCGCTCCAGTGAGAGCTGTAGGTCCCGACTTGATGGAGCCAACAGGACCACATCATCTGCAAGAAGCAGAGATGCGATCCTAAGGCCACCAAGACTGACACCCTCAACACCTCGGCTGCGCCTAGAAATCCTGTCCATAAAAGTTATGAACAGGACCGGAGACATAGGGCAACCTTGGCGGAGTCCAACTCCCACCGGAAACGAGTCCGACTTACTACCGGCAATGCGAACCAGACTCTGACTCCGGTCGTACAGGGACCGAACAGCCCGTAACAAGGGGCCAGGTACCCCATACTCCCGGAGCACCCCCCACAGGATACCCCGAGGGACACGGTCGAACGCCTTCTCCAAGTCCACAAAACACATGTGGACTGGTTGGGCGAACTCCCATGCACCCTCTAGGACCCCGCTGAGGGTATAGAGCTGGTCCAGCGTTCCACGGCCAGGACGAAAACCACCCTGCTCCTCCTCGATCCGAGGCTCGACTATCCGACGGACCCTCCTCTCCAGAACCGCTGAATAGACCTTCCCAGGGAGGCTTAAGAGTGTGATCCCCCTATAGTTGGAACACACCCTTCGGTCCCCCTTTTTAAATAGGGGGACCACCACCCCAGTCTGCCAATCCAGCGGGACTGCCCCTGATGTCCACGCGATGTTGCAGAGTCGCATTAGCCAACGCAGCCCCACAACATCCAAAGCCTTTAGGAACTCCGGCCGAATCTCATCCACCCCCGGGGCCTTGCCACGCGGAGCTTTTTGACTGCCTCGGTGACTTCAGCCCCGAAGATTAGAGATTCCAGCTCCGGATCCCCAGGCTCTGCCCCTCCAACGGAGGACGCGCCAGTGGGATTGAGGAGGTCCTCGAAGTACTCCGCCCACCGACCCACAACGTCACGAGTTGAGGTCAACAGAACACCATCCCCACTGTAAACAGTGTTGGTGGGGCACTGCTTCCCCCCCCTGAGACGCCGGATGGTGGACCAGAATCGCCTCGAGGCCGTACGGAAGTCTTTTTCCATGGCCTCCCCAAACTCCTCCCACGCCCGGGTTTTTGCCTCGGCGACCACCCGAGCCGCATGTCGCTTGGACTGCCGGTACCCATCGGCTGCCTCCGGAGTCCCACAGGCCAAAAAGGCCCGATAGGACTCCTTCTTCAGCCTGACGGCATCCCTCACCGCCGGTGTCCACCAGCGGGTTCGAGGGTTGCCGCCACGACAGGCACCGACAGCCCTGCGACCGCAGCTCTGGGAGGCCGCGTCATTGATGGAGGCGCGGAACACGGCCCACTCGGACTCAATGTCCCCCGCCTCCCCCGGAACGTGTTCGAAGCTCTCCCGGAGGTGGGAGTTAAAGCTCCGCCTAACAGGGGACTCCGCCAGGCGCTCCCAGCAGACCCTCACAACACGTTTGGGCCTCCCGGGTCTCACCGGCATCCTCCCCCGCCATCGGAGCCAACTCACCACCAGGTAGTGGTCGGTGGAAAGCTCCGCCCCCCTCTTGACCCGAGTGTCCAAAACATGCGGCCGCAGATCAGCTGAAACGACAACGAAGTCGATCATTGAACTGCGGCCTAGAGTGTACTGGTGCCAGGTGCACATATGGACACTCTTATGTTTGAACATGGTGTTCGTTATGGACAATCCGTGCCGAGCACAGAAGTCCAAAAACAGAACACCGCTCGGGTTCAAGCTGGGGGGGCCATTCCTCCCAACCACGCCCCTCCAGGTCCCACTGTCGTTGCCCACGTGAGCGTTGAAGTCCCCCAGCAAAACGAGAGAGTCCCCAGGGGGGGCACCCTCCAGTACCCCCTCTAAGGACTCCAAAAAGGGTGGGTACTCTGTGCTGCCGCTAGGCGCATAGGCACAAACGACAGTCAGGACCCGTCCCCCCACCCGCAGGCGAAGGGATGCTACCCTCTCGCTCACTGGGGTAAACCCCAACGTACAGGCACCGAGATGGGGGGCAATGAGTATGCCCACTCCTGCTCGGCGCCTCTCACCGGGGGCAACTCCAGAGTAGCAAAGCGTCCAACCCCTCTCAAGAAGGCTGGTTCCAGAGCCAGAGCTGTGTGTCGAGGCGAGACCGACGATGTCCAGCCGGAATCTCTCCGCCTCGCACACTAACTCAGGCTCCTTCCCCGCCAGAGAGGTGACGTTCCACGTCCCTAGAGCCAGCTTCTGCAGCCGGGGATCAGTCCGCCAAGATCCCCGACTCCGGCCGCCGCCCAAGGCACAGCGCACCCGACCCCTATGGCCCCTCCCACGGGTGGTGGGCCCGTGCGAAGGGGGACCCATGTCTCCTCTTCGGGCTGGGCCCGGCCGGGCCCCATGGGTGAAGGCCCGGCCACCAGGCGCTCGCCATGGTGCCCCGCCCCTGGGCCTGGCTCCAGGGGGGGGGCCCCGGTAGCCCGCGCCCGGGCGAGGGTACACGAAGTCCATTTTTGTCTCTCTTCATAAGGGTCTTCTGGGCTGCGCTTCGTCTGATCCCTCACCTAGGACCTGTTTGCCTTGGGTGACCCTACCAGGGGCTTGAAGCCCCGGACAACATAGCTCCTAGGATCACAGGGACACTCAAACCCCTCCACCACGATAAGGTGGCAGCCCAGGGAGAGTCCGATTTGCAATATGAAAAGGACAAACCAGTTCTTGAACGAGCTTGCTGTTTTTTTCCCGGTTCTTTTACCTTTCAACAGGTATCCTTTTGGATGTCATTTGCTGTTTGTGCCACTAGATCTTCTACATCTAACCTTAAGAATGTATTTCTCATTTTCTACTAACATCAGACTCAGATGGGACCATATTTTATGTCATATCATAAGGGTGGTTATTGACAAACTAGTTGCAAACTGTTGTCACATAAATGGATTTTATTTTTTCATTTAAAATATTTTTTTTCCATTTCTCACTGGTTTGTCACTTGTTACCCGTGTGCAGCAGCACATCAGAGCGCCGGGGCTCCCGGGCGGAGCTGCGCAGAGCCTCCCTGTACAGCACCATGGACATGGTGCCACAGCTGGAGAATTACGCCAGCACGCTGCCCCGCCAGCAGGCCAGGAGCAGGCCATCTCTTGAAGCTCTCCGCAAGGCGTTCGAGGTACGCTTTCCACCTTTGGAAACAATCACTCACCCCGAGTTTGAACTTTGAACTGAGACAGCAATAAAAATCTGATGCTTAAACTAAATAATCGAATAAGATACATTTAGATAGCTGATTCTTTTTTCTAGCACAAACAACAAAAAAGAAGATTTTTTCTGCATGGTATAGCCATGCATACACTTTATTATCACCATTATATTGACCAGCAATAAGTAAATGTAATGCAAAAAATTAACTAGATTTACCCCATAAAAAGTTAAATGAACAGGGCGTTGATCAGATTCTTTGTCTTTTTGTTAGGATGCGGATGCCAGAGTGGATGGGATATCCGACACAGACTTAGGTGGCACTCAGGGCCCAGACCTCGGAAACGAAGAGTCCCAAGATTCCAAATCAAAAGCTCCCGTTAGATTTGGATGGATTGTTGGAGTCATGGTGAGTCAAACCTCTCTATGTTGGAGCCTATGGCAGAAAGCGACAGTTAAATCATTCCAAATGCACACAATTGCTTAGGTTTAACTTTAGTCTTTGTTGCATTTAATCAATTTGGAACCCAACTATCCCAAAGGCATTGCACAGCTCCTTTCATTGAACTTTGGCCACAGGTTCGGTGCATGCTGAATATTTGGGGGGTCATCTTGTTCCTCCGCTTGTCATGGATCACCTCTCAAGCAGGCATCTGTGAGTCACGCCTTCATATTGTTCCCCTTTCACACATTTATTCCTTTGAGGTCTACTTGTAAAGTCTACTCAAACACTCCCTACGGCACTCTTATCTCTGGCTTCCATTGATTTATATTGTTGTGGTACAATACCAGTACGTTGCACATTGCTGCCTTTGAGCTTTATCTTTGGCACAGGGCTGAGCTGGAAATTCTGGTGAGGGAATTATTCATTTTCTTATAAAGACAAAGGCTGAAACATTCCAAGCAAAAAAAAAAAAAAAAACCTGAAAGCACCTGAGACCTGAGTCAATGTTGAGTAAAATATTAGAAAGGTTTCTGTTTCTGGAAATGATCATTTGGGGTTAATTTTGGTTCAGGGAAACAGTTTACCAGATGTGATGTCATCTTTTAAACATTCCGGTAGCCCACAAATGATAAAATAGGTTAGAATGTGATTTTTGGATGATACTGGTATTGTGTACAAGAACTTGAAGGAAAATTCCAGGATTTGTTGAATGCAGGCCATGTGTTCATTTGCATTGGTATTTAAACTGGATGTGTCCAGAATGCCCAATCACCACAGAATATTTTGGTCATATATCTTATTTGATAGAGATATTTAGTGAGTATAATAAATACAGGTGCAGATTAAGGAAGATTAGTTGACACCTTTATTTTCCTCCTGCCAGTGCTGACTTGTGTCATAATCCTGATGTCTGTGGTGGTGACCTCAGTGACTGCGCTCTCCATCTCGGCCATCGCCACCAACGGGAGGGTGATCTCAGGCAAGTCAGAAATCTAACTCCCTCCTCCATGGTCTTCTGTTTTTTCCAAGTTCTATGCAGGATGACAACCTTGTTTTTGTTTGTCGAACGTTTTGCAGGAGGGGCTTATTTCATGATATCTCGCAGTCTGGGTCCTGAAATCGGGGGGCCGATTGGGGTGGTCTTCTCCTTTGCCAACGCTCTGGCCTGTGCACTCAATACGGTCGGCTTTGCGGAGGTGGTCCGTGATCTAATGAAGGTGCTCCTTGGTTTTTCTCTTCATTATACTGCGCAAAACTCATAACTCAAGTCGAGTGTGATACAGTGTAATACTGTCTCCTGACTTTAATACAAGTCTTGAATAAATGGAAGTACTATGTCAAACAAAAAAGACCAGAGCTACACTCTGAGATGCAATTTGGCTCTCAAACTGAATCCAAACTAGTGGCCATGCACGCAGATTGGTACTTGAAAATGTCTGGATGAGTTACAATATGTGATTCGTTGCCATAATCAGAGTGTTTTTTGTAATACTTTGGTTGATTAATGCAGGAATTCGACGTCGTCATGGTGGATGCGATCAATGATGTCCGAATTGTGGGTGTGATCACAGTGACGGTTCTTCTGATGATTTCAATGGCTGGAATGGAGTGGGAGTCCAAGGTAAGCCCATTTGGATGCCTTTTATTTAATTCAGTTATGACGATCTCTATATTTCTACAGCTTAGTCATTAAGGCTTCTCACCATTGCTCCACTTGCCTCTGTTTCTTAGGCGCAGATTTTGTTCTTTCTTGTGCTTTTGGTCTCCTTTGCAAACTACTTTGTGGGGACCGTAATTCCTCCAGGCCTAGAGAAACAAGCTGTCGGCGTCTTCGGATACAGAGGTGCAGGTCTCCTTGTAGCACAATGTGCAAAACACAGACTTGATATTCTTCAGAAATGTTGTTTGTTTTACATATTAAACTTTAATCTATCATCTGACTTTTACTCCATTTATCCGTTATCTATGGTGTTACTGTGTAGACATTTGTGAAAAAAGATAGTAAATAAAAGGAACTGTGTGCATGTATTTTTGAATGAATTCGGTCAAGATTTCTTTGAGCAAATTATGTGACGATTTCACTGTAAGATGGAGAGACATTTCCAGGCTCATGTGTCATTCACATGAGCCTATAACTGAGGAAGAAGCTGGGTAAAAAGACAGCACCAGCCCAGGAGTTTTACCTAGGGGAAGTACTTCACAAGGAACTAAAGGTCGTTTTAGAGAGGGGATGCGGTTCCAATAATGATTAAGTATGTGCTGATAATATTATAAGCAAGTTGAGAAATAAAAGGTGCACACATATGGTAAATTTAGGGAAAGGGGGAACTGGGAAAACAGGGAATGCATGGAGTAAAAAAGAGAAGGAACGGGCTTAGGAGAGATTCACTCATAAGGAAGTTAAATGTTAGAGTATTAACCTCTCGTTACCTTTTCGTATAGGTGACATCTTCACGGAGAACCTGACACCCGACTGGAGAGGGGCTGAAGGAAGCTTTTTCCAGATGTTTTCCATTTTCTTCCCGGCTGCTATTGGCATCCTGTCAGGAGCTAACATCTCTGGAGACCTGAAGGTATGGCAATATGGAAATGGTGGAAACACATCGCGCTCGCTCTCATGAAACCGCCCGGTGGCTGACGGGTGTTTTTGTTCACAGGACCCAGCCGTGGCGATTCCCAAAGGCACCCTCATGGCAATATTCTGGACTACCTGTAGCTACTTGGGAATTTGTGTCACTGTTGGTAGGTTACTCAGCAAGCATGCTTCTTTAATGTTTATGATTAGACTGGTTTAATTCTGGTTCCCATTGAACAATGGCCGGAACTCACTGCTGGTGCAATACATGAGTGGTAAAGTTAATATGAGATTTATCTGTTTTTTGAAAAGATTTTTACTTCATTTTCTTTTAATGTCAGAAATATATGTGAACATTGACAGTCATAGGGGTTAACATATCTGGGGCTCTTCACTGTTTCCCAGGGGCTTGCGTCGTACGGGATGCTTCTGGAAACATGAGCGACTACTTTACTGAAAACGTGACCGACAGCTGTGTGGGACTTGGCTGCAAGATGGGCTGGAACTTCACAGACTGCATCCAGTCCAAGTCTTGTGAATATGGGATGGCCAACAGCGTAAAGGTACATTTCAGCTCTTTTTCAAAAAGCCAGTGTGCCTGTCATCCCAAAGCCTGTCGGGAAATGCGGATCATGTTCTTTGCTCATGAAGCTTCCGTTACTGAAAGACTGCCTTTAAGATTTCTCCAGTGGGTTTTGTTCTTCATGGGTGTTTTTTCCACTAGGTTCTGGGGCAGGTTTCTGGTTTCTACTATCTCATCACAGCAGGTGTGTTTGCAGCCAGTCTGTCCTCTGCTCTTGGATTTCTTGTTTCCGCTCCAAAGGTCTTTCAGGTAAGAGATCCTTGGCTGCCTGCTAAATGATTTTGATTAGAAACAGCAGTAGGAATAGACAAAAGGCTGTTTTTTTTCAAATGCTGTGTACTCTTTTTACTGCATAACATATATAGTTCAAAACTCAGTTCTCTTTCATTTTCAATTTTAACATACTGATTTAAGCAAAGAACTTGTGACTTGGCGGTACAGGCAGGATGTAACAACTAGTTCAACATCTAATATACTAACTTCTTTCAAATTTTTCAGTGTCTTTGCAGAGACAAAATATACCCATACATCATATTTTTTGCAAAAGGTTATGGGAAAAATGATGAGCCACTCCGGGCCTACCTTCTCTGCTACATCATTGCTGTAGCCTTCATTCTCATCGGTGTGTGACGCAATATATGAAAACCTGAACCCCTTAAAAAAAAAAAGTTTAAACACTTTGAGATGATCCTATTTACCTTGGTTTTTCTCTCCTTTTTTCAGCGGAGCTTAACGTCATCGCAGCCTTAATCTCCAACTTCTTCCTGTGTTCCTACAGCCTTATCAATTTCAGTTGCTTTCACGCTTCCATCACAAACTCTCCTGGTGAGCTCCTGATGAGTGGAGGAGGTGTGAGATAAGAAATCTGAATGGTACCATATAGAATAGATTCAACGCAGAGCTGCAGCTACCAAGGCAGGAAGTAAAACTGGAATTGTTATTGTAAATGTCAAACGTCATATTCTGTCATATATGTGTTAAAATGTTGTTTTGGTTTTAGTCATTTTAGAAAATAGACAGTAACATCAATTAATATGTCAGTGTAGACGTAATTTAGGAACAGTTTTGACATGCTGCAGGTGACGCAGAACTATTTCTAGTTCACCAGCACAGGCTAAAACAAGAATAGAGCAAAGACAAAGAAACCAAAATACAAAACATTCCTTTTCCACTTAGAAGTCTCTAAAAGCTTTACAGGAAACAGCACTATCTGCATCTCAGTCTGCTCCACAGAGCAAAACTCTTTAAGGCTGTCTGCCAAAATTGACCAGGCTGTATATTTGGGCACCCTCAGAAACCATCCTTTCTTTTTTTTTATTTGTCTTTCTTAGGATGGAGGCCTTCATTCCAGTACTACAGTAAATGGACGGCTTTGTTTGGCGCAGTGATCTCTGTGGTCCTGATGTTCCTCTTTACCTGGTGGGCTGCTCTCGTCACCTTCTGCATCATCTTTTTCCTGTTTGGATACGTCAACTACAATAAGCCAAGTGAGTCCACAAATGATTTTTTTTTAAAAGAGAGAAATGGAACAAGACGAGATTGCATTTTCATGCAGCCCGAGCAAATGCTTGGAAATGTCAACAATGTCATACATAAGACTTTCTTTTTAATTTAATCAAGCATTGCTATACATCTTTGGTGATTTTACTTTGTAGATTCATTACAAATTCAACAAGTGTCAAATTTGAACTGGATTCTGTCCTGTAATAATACAGGCCGCAATGCATTACTGTGTTTAGATGGTTTTATATTCTCAGAAGTTTAAGCTGACATGGCTCGACCAGCAAAAAGATTCAGAATGATATTTTTTTTTTCTCAATCTCTCAGAGATAAACTGGGGTTCGTCAGTCCAGGCCGGAACATACAACATGGCTTTGTCATACTCAGTCTCTCTGTCGGGTGTGGAGGACCACGTGAAGAATTTTAGGTCAGTCACCCAAACCCATGGACACTTCAAACTTCATTTGAATGTTTTTTCTCTATTAAAAAAAAAGAAAAAAGAAAAAAGGAACTGGATCTTGATCGGAATGGCGCATATTTGCATTTTCAGTTAGAGAGCAATAATGGATGTTGATAGAGAAGTCTTTTCTTTCTTATTACCTCCTTTAGGCCGCAGTGCCTGGTTTTAAGCGGGCCCCCGAACCAGCGGCCGGCACTGGTGGACTTTGTTGGCTCCTTCACGAAACACGTCAGCCTCATGATCTGCGGAGACATCATCATGGTCGGTGGTTATTTTTAATGAGAAAGCACGTGTTAACATGTCCTCCACAGAGGCTCCTGAATCCCTAAAGCCATTATTGATTCCCTGGGCCCTTTTAGGAGCAGGACAGTAAGACACAGCCACAAGATGCTACACATGAGCTGGTCAAGTGGATGAACAAGAGGAAGGTGCGGTCGTTTTATACTCCGTTTGCATCCGACAGCCTCAGGGCCGGAGCTCAACACCTCCTGCAGGTACGCAGACAGATCAACACACACACTGTCTGGGTTAGGGTTAGTGAGGCCGTTTTTGTGTTGGACGCTCACATTTGACAGAACATGGGTAGGAAGTCGCAAAAGGGCCATTGGGTTAAATACTAGTGCCAAGGGGTCAAATCTGATCCAACACTTGACCTGCTGTGATAATAATAAAGTATTTAAGAATATTAGTGTTTTTTTCTATTACATGTTCATCTATTGTAATTATCTGTTCTCTATTTCTTTTATTCTTGTTCGTTCGGTCAGGCATCTGGTCTCGGGAAGCTGAAACCCAACACTCTGGTCCTTGGCTTTAAGGCAAACTGGAGGGAAAGTGCTCCTGAAAGCATTGAAGATTATATCCACACGATTTAGTAAGCTGGTCATTCATTCGATGTGTGTTTTAAACAGAATTGATTTTTTCATAAAGGCAAAAAATTTATGAAAATCATTATTTATTACTGTATTTCTAATGTCATTTTTCCTTCTCTCACTGTTCATCAGCAACACATTTGACTCCAACTACTGCCTGTGCATCTTGAGGATGATGGATGGACAGGACATTTCTGTTGATTTTGAAATAGGAGGTATGTTTTTCCTTGCCAATCATTTCCCACTGTATAAACTGAATAAAACAAAAAAAACAAAACAAGCTAAGCTTGACAGCCTGTTTATCCTTTAGTGAACCCTAGCTTTGAGTTGGAAGAATCAGTGGAGAGAGATGACCAGCAAACAGCTGAGGAGAACACAGGTGAGAGCTAACTTCACCCACCTACTCCAAGTTCTGCTCTGGCTCCTCATTGACAACACATTGTTGAGCCCTCTTTTGTCTTTATTTGAGGTACATTGCCTGCCTTAATTTATTCCCCTCCATGTGGATTTTCAGCTGATGACATCTCTGAGGAGGGCAACATTGATCAGATCAAGACAATATTTCAGAATGACCAAGGCAAGAAGATCATTGACGTCTACTGGATTGCAGATGATGGAGGTCAGTAATACAGAATGTTTAACCGGCATATGGGAAATTATATTTATATGTGTATACATATATATATATAACTACTTCCTCCTACTGCGTTTCGGAGAAAGAAAACATTAGAGAATGTGATATTGTTTTACTAATTCCTTTCTTTCTTTTTATATTCTAAACAAATCAAACAAAGTGTAACTCATGGAAATGCTTAGTAAATGCAAAAAGTCTGAGTGTTCAGATAGTGTCCCTGCATTGGTAAAATAGAATTAAATGTGGAGTTTGCCACACAATTGATTCTTTTTATTCTCCTTACAGGTCTGACGTTACTGGTGCCTTACCTAATCACCAGGAGGAAGCGCTGGAGCAGATGTAAGGTCAGAGTTTTCATCGTGGGGGATGAGCAAAACATGGAAGAAGGCCGGAATGAGTAAGTTTCTATCTTTAGGGAAACAGAGCACGTCTTTACGGGTCTCAAAAAACTAAATCAGCAGATAGAGCATGTGCTCTTAGGGTACCTTTTTAAAAAAAGAAAAGCTAAATCATTTAAATGAATAAATACACATAGGAATAAAAAGTGACAAAGGAAGAAGTCATCAGAACGCGACAAGCATTCAAGCATAAACTAAATGGAGCAATAAAACCTGTTGTGCATTGATCTGTAACAAACTGATCTGTGGTCAAACTGTGAAATCTCACTATTGTTTCTTTGAGGATGGTCGCTCTGCTGAAGAGGTTTCGTCTGGATTTCAACGATGTTATCGTTATGACGGACAGTGAGAAGCGCCCTCAGGCCAAAAAGTAAGTGGGGATGCTCAGGTTTCACATGTGGTTTAACTTGTTTGAATAAATATCCAAGTCAAAACCACCTAATGCAGACGTGTCTGGATTATTGTTTCCAGTATTTGCTAAGATTGTTCAGATAATAGAAATGTGTATTGCTATAAAACATATATAACAATTCCTTCGCAGCCCTGAGAATTTCCCCTAATTGTGTTAAAAATGCCTCCTGCTTATTTTAAGATGCCCACATCTGTCATTGTGAAAAACTAACTCACTGCTTTGCTGTGCAGCATGAGCAGGTTTATGGACAGCGTCGCCCCCTTCAGGCTGTATGATGAACAGCAGGAAGGCATCTCCGTGCAGGAACTCAGACAAAATGCCCCCTGGAAAATATCCGACAAAGAGCTGGAGGCCTTCAAACTTAAGGTGTGTTTCAGCGTCGTCCAGCTGCAACTAGAACTGTGATTTTACATCAAAAGCCCTTTGATGCAATGTTAATATCAATGGAATGATTTCCTTTTTTGTCTTGTATTCACAGTCTGAGAGGAAAGTGAGGCTGAATGAAATCATCCGGAAGAATTCCCAACATACCGCCCTCGTGCTTGTGTGAGTACACCTCATCCGAACAGAACAAACGCTCTTGACGTTTGCAGACAGGTTCCTGTCCATCTGACAGAGGACAGGGTGCATTTACGCCTATTCTTTGCTCCTGTCGTGCCATTTTGTGATGCTCACGTTAACGCATTGGTGTTCCCCAGGAGCCTCCCTGTGCCGCACAGCGACTGCCCCAGCGCCCTCTACATGGCCTGGCTGGACGCTCTGACCTGTGGCCTCCACTGCCCCGTGGTGCTGATACGAGGAAACCAGCAGAATGTCCTCACTTTCTACTGCCAGTAAATCCCCCCCTCGTGGTTTGTCTGGAGATGCCATCCCAGCTGTCGTCTATTCATTACAGGGGGAGAGAATGAAATGTGCCAGATCTCATTGGCAGCAAAAGGTGGCCCCAAAACTATTTGCTCGTTCATGTGCTGTGAATGTTATGGCACGTCATGATGATAAATGCTTAGGCCTTTTAATTTGTGGCGTATCCTTGCTAACAACTGGAAGAAGACAAAGCGAGATTCAGAGGCCGATGCTGCTCCCAAAGAAACCTGTCACACGAGACCCATTCAGCCTCAGGTGCATGTCTTCCAAGAAGAGTGATAACCCAGGATGCCGACTGTCTTCAGAGACCTGCTCATTCTTTTGTAGCTGCATTCAAACTGGTCATCAGGCAGTCTCTCTGTGATCAAAGATCAGAACCCCCTCCTAGCCACTCTACGAATCCCCAACTGGCTCGTGGAACTTCTGCCGAAGACACTTTACATGTTGATGATGGACTGGAACAGCTGTCTGGTTCTCTTTCCTCCAAAGGTTCCTGTCAATGTATGGGTAGGAAGAAAGTGAATAAGTGAATAACGCTGTAGGCTATATAAACCAACCCCCCCAATGGAAGAGCTGAGGCCCCTGAGGAGACCCTTCCCAGCATGATGGAAATCTTTCCTAAAAAAGAGAGAAAAAAAGAAATATATATATAGAGACATATATATTGAAGTTATAATGGGGAGTTCTAATAGTGTAGACTCGTGTTTGCATTTTGCACATGCTGTGTGACTTTGCTTTTGCCGTCATTGTGTTGTTGCAACAGCTCCCCA